ACCGTTACCAGCACCCCTGGGCGTCAGACCCAGAGCTGCCCACTGGTGAGGACTCCACCAGCCTGGTCCTGGAGGACTTTGCTGATGTGGCAGGCTCCTTAATGGATTATGGCAGTGAGGGGGATTATTTGAGGTAGAGGGGCAGGGTGCTGGAGCTAACACACTGGGTCACCACTTAAGCTACATGTAAGTACCTCACCTGGGCGGAGAATGGTGTGTGCATGGATGGCTTGCAGTGCACAATTCTTACTAACCCTGCTTTATAGGGAGATACAGTATAGGGCTGGGCAATAAGGCTGAAGTCAGTATATCATTAATATCATTTGTTTCAGATATCAATTTACATATTTATGACAATATGGCAAATGCAATGGTGGAAAGCTACTGTTAGCCACATTTGATATATAAATATGGTTCTTAAGTATATTTTTGAGGTAATTACTTTCTCAGCATTTCTATTTTCTCTACAGAGGGATTTAATGTACTTTTTACTCCACTACATTTATTTGACAGCTATAGTTGCTAATTTTGTTGCAGTATTAGATATTACTTACAAAACAAATTATATTATTTCATCAATTATTGATTAAACTACTGGGACATATACATAAAGATATAAAGTTCTTAAAATGGGATCCACCACAACCATCTACAAAATGAAAATGCTGCTTACATGGTAATAGACCAATAAGAAATAATATATCATAACAATCATAACAAATTTTGCTGATGCACATACATGCTGAGCAAGTTTAATTCCTAGTGTGTACTTATTTATTTATTTTTTTAAAAATGTACAAGTTAGGCTACACCAAAGGTGAGGCAGGCTGTCCAGTAGGAAAACAAAATTCGCAGGGGAGCAGGCAATAATCCAAAAACAAGAGATCCAGGAAATAAAGCAGCAGGCAATCCTAACACATGAGAGGTGGAGATAAGGAGGAACAGGTGAAACTCACCAGAGACAGAAAGTGAAGTTATCAGAAACAAGAGGAGTAAGGCGGTAACAAAGTGAAACAGGAAACAACGAATGAATAAATGACACAAGGAAAAACATGATCTAATACAGAGAAAACACAGAGACATGAAGTGAAGTACGCAAAGACACATGAGGAAGGATTAAACAAAACAAAACAGGAAATAACAATAAAATCACATAACAAAATCATGACAGACATAGGTCGAAAGCTCATATTACATAACAAATATTAAATAGATGTTGTGATAAGACTGCTTTCTCGTACACCAAACTGATGTCTAATACAGTTAATTGTGTTCTATCCTTAAAACAAAAACCTCAATAACTAATTTTTACAATACTGTAAAAAAACAAACTGAAAACTAACAAAAAAATACCAATACCAATTTGTAGCTATAGATTGACATTAAATGGTGGCCAGCATTCTTTACTGCTGGCCTCCTCAGCTTTGGTGATATCTGGATTATCATCCTATTTTCAAACTGTACTTTAAGACTAAAATTCCCTCCCTGCTAGCAGCACTGCTTTAGTGTTTGCGTTGGCTCTGTCACTCACAGGCTTAAAGCCATCTTTGGTACAGTAGCCGAGTTGAATTTGTTTACTCAGATAAAAGACATCTGCTCAGTGAAAACAGTTTAACAGCATATGAGACAATTCATAAAGTGGGCTCGTCATGGTTTCAGACAGCTGATCAGGTCCTGTGTGTGTGTGTGTGTGTGTGTGTGTTGGGTGAGTAGGAGTTTGATACTATAGCTACTAAAAGCAGCAGTGAGGTCAGCCGGGCAGCAGCTGTGATCTTAGCTGATGAGGATTAGAGCTTGGAAATTTAGGGGATGTCCAAAAAATTCCGACCCATGCTATTAATCCAGTGTTCCCACCCTTTGGCTGCCTGTCTGCTAATCTGTTCACCCTTCTTCACTCACCCCCTACCCGCCCTCCTATCATCCTAAAAGCAGCCCTCCTCCAATCGCAGGTGGAGGAACATTTCATAGATGGATAGTGGAGTCAGTGCTGGGTTCGGGTTGCAGGGCGGCTGTGAAGCAGTAGGTCAAATCTATCACAGACAGCAGTAACACAGCTTCACTGACTCAGACCTAATGGCCAAGCAATCATGGATCTAGCTAGCTTTTACACCACGAGCAGCTGCAACAGTAAGATGCTGCTTAGACATTGATGCATCAGATTTAACAATTAAAGAATATTACAAGTAAATTTACATTTAGCTAATAATACTTCTGTGCTTTTACTTAAGTAGGATTTTGAATGCAGGGCATTTACTTGCAATAGAGTTTTTATAGATTAATGTATTGGTACTTTTACTCAAATAAAGGAATTAAAAGGTAAATTTACTGAAGACGGCAACTAATCTGCAAAATCTAAATCCAGAACTTTCCTTAATATATCCAGCAATCTTAGATATATGATATATATATAAGAAAAGTCCTTCCCTGAACAAAGATGATTGTTGTTATTTCTGCATTTCCATCTGTGTGGGTGACCAGACAATTGTCAGAAGTTACAGTTTTATGGCAGAAAACATTTCAAAAATATCAAATATATGAACAGCTGAATGGTTTTGTAACCGGTCCCTCAGAATTAAAGAGCAAGAGTGTCTTTCTAGAGAACATTCACATGGAGCAGATTTATTATGTGAACAAAGAGTCAAGGTGGTTTCTGACTCTTTGCAAGCACACACAGTGGTGATTGGGGAGTGACAATGATAAACACCCCCAGTGGGTGGCAGCAACCCTAGGACCCTATAAACACAGGCCTTGAGGCAGCCTTGTAGAGTGACCCCTACGTCAAACTCTAGTTGTAATACTGTTGTATTCTGTTAAAATGATGCTTACATTCTGAACATTCTTAAATAAACTATCATTTCAAATTATAACTAGACTACAATGTGGCTTGGAAATCTTAGTTGGTACCCATACCCCAGGGTAAAACATATTGTGTTGGACCCACTGATGGTGAATTATGATTAAATGTGTTGGGCTCAAGATGTTTCCATGTTATCAGGATGTCACACTTTCTGCTTCTTTACCGTTTGATCATGACATTCCTAACCGAAGCTTCAATATTGCAGGAGGTGATAGTGATGTGAACATACCACCTCGATTCCTGAGGGGCAGAGCGCCGCTGGCTCCCACCGACACTCCCAAACTGTGAGAAAAGTCTCTCCTCTCCTGGAAACACTACATTATTTACAGTATAGCGGTATGAATGTGTCACATGTCACTTGTTATGACTCACTCTCTGTCCCTGTTCTCACTTCAGTTCACATCGTCAGTCCCGAGCATGTAGAACATGTGCTCTTTCTTCTCTCCATTAAAATTAGTTTGAGTGATAAGACAGCCAGTTCTCATATCTTTCAAAAATCAATAGTTGGGGCTGATATTAATCACCATATTCATTTAAATTCGGGCCAATTTAATGCTCAAAAACACAGGGGTTTTGTGTTGTCTAAAAAGATCTAAGCATTTAGGCCACGATGACGCTCTGAAATTTGCCTTTAAATCAAATTTACCAACATCTTAAGTGGCACTGAAACACTAAGGACAGAGGTACAGCCGTCACCTTATTACTTACCAGCACATTAAATGTATAAAATTTTATTTTATGTTCTAAAACTTAATTAATTCTGTGATACTGAAACAGATGATTGGTTTTCATCTCACTTATATTTGATGTTAGAACTATGATTGTTGGATTTGACCTTATATATTTGGACTTTTTACTTATATTTGATGTTTTTGTGTCTTCACAAATCACATACACTAAGTGTTACAAAGAGTATTGATTTAACTTTAACTTTAACATAGAAAGGTTAATAAATATTCTCTCTGACTGATTTTACTGATCTATTTGATCAGAAAAAAAAAATCATATTATAATATGAAATATTAAGAGGTTGAACAACTACTTAAAATTATTTATTTCGTTTTGCGTACTTCTTGAGAACTTTCTAGACCTGTTTATGAACACTCTAGGTACAAAACCTGCAACTTGGTAGTTTCCATTTCACTTTCATGTTCTATCGGGCATCTTTTGTTATTTTATCTAAATGTGCCACGACTTGGTTCAGTGTCAGAAATTTATGATAGGAGTTTCTATAAGCTTGAGCATGACACCCAAATTCACCTGGTGGAGGACAACCTCTTATTCCTTCCTGTAGACCTTTTTTAAATGTTTGTAACTAATTGAGTATTTAATACACATGTGCATACTGTGAATTGAATTTGTCGGTCATTGACTTCCAAAATAGGGAGATGGGACTAAAATGAAGAATTCATTGTTGTTAAAAAGTATTTTCATGGGGCCAAGATTTCTCCATAAAGCTCTTTGTGTGCACTGAAAATGTAGTTTGTTTTCTGTGACTGTCTACTTCCTATTATATCCATCATAAGACCTCTTACCACTGAGCTTACACCACCCTGATTATACTCTTTATGCATGAGTAGCTGAGGAAATCTTCTCTTGTGGTAACATTTGATTACAAATTAATATTCAAAAGATTCTTCCAATGAAAGTTTTTTCTTGTTTAATATTTTAGCATTTTTGATGGAACTATGGTAAAAATCTTATTCCAGTAATCTAACACAAACCTTCAAACATAAACAGAGAAGAGCAAAACACAGCTACCAGTTTATTGCTTAATTCAACATCATTCAACAACACTAACACTACATGTCAGAAAATACCTTGGAACCTGGTCACCTGGGACATCTTAAAACCAGATTATTGGAAAAGATTTTATTGTACAAATACTTCTCAAAGACAATAAGAAATAAAAATGTATCATAGATCCTGGGATCCATGGGAATCATATAGGCTGTGGCACTGCAAATGTTCAAGCCAGCATTGCCCTTTGGATAGTTTAGGACGATAATGGCGACCCTGACGCAGGATAAATAACGCATGCTTAGATGCACCTGACACTCACTCAGGTGTTCATCTACTCTGTGTGTATGTCCCAGAGAAACATTCTGTAGAAGACTTGAATAAATCCATCGAAACACAAGGGTTTGCCTGGAAGTGTTTATTCCAACAAAATTTTCACAACATTTTGGCGTTGACGGCGGAGCACTCGTGTGAGTGGACTTGGATGCTCAGGGCTGAAGGTAAAGACCGTGCACGGCTGAGAGTCTGGGGCTTGATCACCGCTATGCTGTTGGGTAACACTATCTTTCTGGTAAGTTTTTCAAGGGGGGCCTACGGAAAACAATTCTCGCCACAGTAACTGTGGGTGTACTACACGTATCAACAGGGCAGGCCTGGGGCCGAGATACAGCCAGAAATCACTGTTGGACAATGAATTTGAGTCTGGGAACAAAAAGAAAAAGAGAGAGGGTTTTAACAGAGTCAAAGGACTCATTTATTCAGAAAGTTGGGGGTGGTAATGGGGCAGTGGAAAAGACACATGCCTTTGGTGTGAAAGACCTGGATTCAATTCCCCACAGTGACACATCCACCAATGTGTCCCTGAGCAAGACACTTAACCCCTAGCTCCTCCAGAGGCATGCGACCTCTGACATTTAAAGCAAATGTAAGTCGCTTTGGATAAAAGCGTCAGCTAAATGAGTAAATGTCTGGGACTCACCTTAAAGGGAGGGAAACTTAACGGTTATGCAGCAATTGTATGAATGCGTTGTGAATCATTATGCTGGAAAATCAGTTGATTACACAAGCTAAATGATGAATTACGACCAGACTGCATTTTGTCAGTTAGTAGATTGTGTACAGTTAGACACGCGTAATAAAGCTTGTAATGTCCTCAAATATATACAGCAAACTTTCCATACTTACAATCTTGCCTCATCTGATAACAGTGATGCCAAGTGCTTGTAATGTGGTGAACCAATCTACATTTCTTCAGTCGGTCTACTACTGGCTCGATACAATCCCAGTTATTTAAAAAAAGCCAACTACTATCTAACAGTCGGGCAATAATATGCAAACTTCCACCAAACTCTTGTTTTGTATCTTTTAACATCGCTTCTGTCCTTTGCCAGGAGCGGATGGTTGGGGTGGTGATAAAAGTCATTCAGCCATTTTTGTGTTTCTGTGACACGAACCAAAAGGCCTTGGCCTTGTGGCAGCTCTACTTTGTCCATTCATGTTGGACTGAGGGCACAGACTGGACGCTAGAGTGGGATTTTCCTGGTTAAATAAAGGTTTAATAATAATAATAATAATAGAGTGACTCACTAATGTCTAAAGTGGTATTACAACACAGGACAGGCCGGGGCTAGCAGGTTAGCATGCTAACTTCAGTAGATATCTCTGCTACATAATAAATAGACATCTTTGACATCACATCAGAGTGGTTACTTCTTCATGTTAGTTCATTTTTAATGTTTTAGGAAAAAGTTCTGGCCAAATCTTACACATTGCACCTTTAAACAAGTTAGTGAAAGTGTGAAACGGGTTCATGTTGGTACATGTTGGTGGGTGACTTCACTGTAGATGATGATGAGTAGTAGATCTCTTTCTTTAGAAGAGATCACACACCTGCACAAAATCATGTGACCACGGAGCTCCTCGGCTAATATGGATGTTGTTCACACACAGTGGCTCCTCTCGCCTGAAACAGAAACACACTTAACAGTTAATTTAAATATTAAACTTTTTTAAAAAGTAGATAAAAACAGGGCTTCTATGTCCATATATTCAAATTTTTATGTCCATATATATATATTGTTTTTTACACATCTGAGATTTATGATCTAACACGATAACGATTATCGTCTTTATAGGCCACATACAACTTATACACAATATAGCATTTAAACTGTAACGGCAATAGGAGACGTATATTTTGTATTTTTCACATGTGTGTGTGCATGTCATGTTCAGTTCACCTGAGAGAGGGGACTTCGGAGAGACAGACAGACTTGATGTGGATGTCTCCCTGTCTGTAGAAGCGAGCTCCGGTGTTCTTCACCTCGATGGAGTCGATCTCACACAGAGCAGCAGCGTGACTCAACATTGTCCTGTACACTGTTTTATCTGTCTGACTGCAATACCACACAAGATGAGACAGTCACACACACTTTCAGATAATCAACATTCATCACAGGACAGTGTTTGTGACTGTGAGATTTAAAAGACAACATCTCCTTGCTGTTTGCAAGGTGGAACATAAACTCACAAGGTTATCCTCATGTAAGTATCCATACAAGGCAAGCATCTGTATTTATTAAATCTTGGAATAAAGTACAAAAAAGTACAAACAAACAAGAGCAAACAAGTGTCCTCCTGAACTCAAGTGAACCTGTGCACGTGTACATTTGTGTCCTGCACCTGGCCAGGCATTTACAGTGACACATACAGTACCTCTCTTCTCAAAATAGAAGCTGCCAGCTCAGCTTTTTTTTGGGGATAAAAGAGGAAGAAATTACAGTACTATGTAGTTCGGGGATGAAGGTGATGCATTGGAGTCTGACCACCAGTGCTGAATAAATGGAGTCCGTAAGAATACCGTCACACTGAATTTTTCTCTATTTAAATTTCTTCTTTGATGTGTCCTGCAGAAAATGCGTATCCACGCTGAAAGATGACATGAACTTGCAAAACACTGCAAAAAATGTTGAAGACTGGAATGATATGCCTGAACTGAAACTGAACTGCATAGCTAAAGAGGCTAAGAGCTGAAATACTTAGCTAACAAAAAGCAGGAAGCTATATTGTAGTAGTGTCAAAGCCTGAAGTTGAAAAGAGTTATCTGTCTAGATTTTGCTATACGTATTTGTAATAAAATGTAATAAGGATTGTGGACCAAGGAAAACCTTAGCCGGACTCTTGTTTGCTAGACAGTTTTACATGTCAAATTTCTGGGTCTTTCTTGTCCACAGGGGAAATTTGTCTTCACAGTCAGTACAGGGCCTCAAGTGTACATACATACACATACAGCATACACAAACACACAAAACTTTCACAGCTGGGGAACTTCATATAAAGATGCTATCTTGAAATACACAAAACTTTTGCTGTAGCAGACCCGTGCTGATTTCCATGACGTCAATATCAAGAAAAACAAGACGCCCCTTCTATTTGACCAACTACCCAAAACTCTTTCAGATTCAGTTTCCATCACGTAAGCTACAGCCAATAATGTTTGAAAGTTTTGTTTGAAAAATGACTTAAACAATTAACACTTATAATAGTTGAAGATAATTTTCTGTTAATTTTTTTTAAAAAACAAAATGAAATGGAGCAAAGTAATTGCAAGTTAGACAAAAACTGTGTCAGCAAGAACCTTTTTACACTTATAGAAAACTGAAAATTTAAATGGTACCTACAGCCTGAGCCTCTGCTCTTTCCCCAGGTTCGCAGTCCTCAGTTTCACCTGCACCTCAGCACTCTTATCCAGGGGAGAAACCTCCAACTCCAGCAGGATGTGATGAGCTGAGCAAAGGAATAAGTATTTAGTACTTATCTCTACATCCAACAACAATATCTCAACAAATGTTGGATGGATTGGATTGCATGTTCCCCAGATGAGGAATCCACCGACTTTTCATTTCATGCCAACATATTTATCTTCCAATACTTTTTTTGGTTCATGATCAAATACCTGCAACAGTCAAACACTCACAGCAAAAAGGTGGTGAAGACGTGGTGAGGAGGAATAGCTTCTGCTCTTTGGGAATTGGAGATATGGTTATCCCATTTTTTTCTGATAAACCTAAAACACACACACACACACACACACACACACACCAAGCAAGTGACGGTTATACTGTAGGCCTATTGTACATACGTCACAATTCAAAAGGGCTCCACGTACATTAACTGTGTCACTGTATCAGCGTGCGTTGGCATATCAGGGGTTGAAATGATAAGAACCTGCCAAAAGCTGTTGTGTGACAAGACCAGAGCTGCTGCATGAGTGCAGCCTGATGCCATATCTACTGGTGATACTGAGGTCTGACAGACAACTAAAAAAGCAGCCCAACCTTTATGTTACTCATCCTGTCTGTCCCTCCCCATTGAAATGGAAACATCCATTATTACCAATGTGCTTTTCTTGTTTCTGTGTTTTTTATTTTTGACTATGATGGATGTTTGGTAGTGACTGATTAATTGGATTGAATCAGTTATTGAAATTCATATATGTTAGGCTGGGCAGCACAGTGGTGCAGTGGTTAGCACTGTCGCCTCACAGCAAGAAGGTCGTGGGTGTTAGGCTGATTCGGTGCATCAATTTGCTAGAAGATCATTTTAGATCGGATCGCTCTGGTTTTCATAATTAATATGAAACATCTTTAAAAGGACCAGTGTGTAGGATTTCAACCAACTGATAACCCCTTGCCTCACCCTCCACTTATGTGGAAGAACCTACGGTCGCAACAAATGCAGTGGAAGAAGACCTGCTATTTCTTTTGATATAAAAGGGTTCTTTCTAAGGTAACGAAAAACGATTCTTATTTTCAGGTGATTATACATACTTATTAATATTATATTATATTTCCTTCTTTAGAAACCATTGCCTCCTCTGCCAAAATTGAAAATCAGAAAATGAATATGTAAAAGGTACTACTACTACCATTGTCTGTAGTATTAACATTACGGCCACTACTGCTACTGAAAGGCATATGTGTGATCAAAAACTATAGGACATTATTAATTTAGATCACTTTAAAGCAGTTCCACACTGTTAAATGAAAATCTTCAGTGTATAAAAATGTAGATTATAGATGAATTGACTAATTGTTTCAGCTGTGTACACTGTTGGGTAGTTTCATTAATAACAAAACATTGTATTTTGTAAGCTCTTTGTATGCTTTGCCTGCAGAAATCGTAATGTGTAATGTAACTTGGATGTAACTATGTAAAAATATTTCCATCTTAGATGTAGCGAAGGAGAAGTAGAACATGGCATAAAAAAGAAAATACTTAAGTACAGTAGGCTACCTGACCACCACCGAAGACATGTAGTAACATTGTAGTAGCAGTACTGGTAGCAACTTGTACTGTCAGTCAGAAGTTTAGCAGCATTTCATTGTAAAAGGACAGATGACACTTGTTTCTACTGAACAAAATATTAATTCAGATCCTTTATGTTTGACGCAGACATTAACAAAGAATGCTAAGAACAACAGCAGGTCATCAGCAGCCCACAAGTTAGAGGGGTGGCCTACTCCCAGGTGTATTCTTACCTATAGTTGGACACCTCCCCTTGAAGACGTCACAGTTCACACAGTGTCCATTCAGGAAGTCCTCATAGCTGAAGCATGGGATCCCTATTAATGGGCACGAGCCATTCAGCGCGCTCATGTAGACGTGCAGCGCCCTCATGTGGTCACATATCACATAGCCATACACTGGAAAGTAGACCAGAACTAACAACACACAGAAACCAGAAACACAAGGGAACCAGATGTCTGGAGGCTATCATTTTCAAAATTATAGTTTTAAAAAAAACTTTATTTATAACTTCTTGATGAGAAGTAGCATGAGCTATAATTTAGAGGAGGCAGCCAATTTAAGTCAAACAAACGCAGTTGCTGTCTCCCTGTTAGTCCCCACCTTTTTAGGTTTTAGTGAGTGCTGAACCTACTTGAAGCAAACCTGGAGCGGGCACATCCAGTCTGATCCTTTCCTCCGTTCAGATAGAAGTCCACATGACCGACAGGGATGGAAATGCCAAAATCTGATGCAGAAAAAAATCCTCATTAATACTGTGGACATTTTGTCATTGCATTGCTGCTTTTTACTCTTCACTGTAACTCAAACTCAAGGTCGAAAGGAAAACACCACCCTAAAAACGGGAGCTTTACGATTGGACTATTGCCTCTTGAGACCGCCGGGCCTAGCCAGTTTACTTCATCTCTGCAACACAATAAATAGACATCTATGACATGTCAAAACTGTTTTTAAACTTTTTAAACAAAAAATGCTGGCCACATCATACACACTGTACCTTTAAGTTCCCAAGATTTTCTTGAATCAGCTGCTTTAAAGAAATTATCATTTGGTGACATAGTGAGTGGAGCAGCACCACAAGCAGGAAACAACAAACATGTGTAATGTTTAATGTGTTAACTTCTTATTTTACTTCTTATGTTTGCAAGTTAGACAGTATGTGGGAGTTTTCTTATCAAAATAAGTATGAGCTAACAGTCACACCAGACCAAGTTAGTCTGAATGAGCAAATCCACTGAATGCATCTGAGCATCGTTTTATCACTTTTCATTTTTAGAGAGGGAGTTTGTTATTCCTTATTTCAAAAGTTACATTCTCTGACTTTAACTTTTTTGTTGGCTTTAGGCAATTAGATTAATATCTATATCTGCAAATCTGTCTCACTATCTCACCTAAAACATGACTAGGCTACCTCTAATGACTGGTAAGAAAATCCACTTTTTGTTTGTACATTTCTCATGTTGCAACACACATTCAGTTGCTCTACTAACTGTTGTGTACACAGAGGAAAATATGCTGCCCACGGCTTATTGTAAACCACAACAGTAGACATTATGTTACCTCAGCCTCTAGTCTTTTGGTGGAAATGGAAAGAACCAGCCTCAATAAAAGGTTTTATGGTAAGTTAATGTTGACTCACAGTCAGCGTCTGTGTGGATGGCGTCAACAAACTGAGCGTCAGAGGGGTCCAGCCGGTCAAAGGTGTCAGCTCCTTTAAACATGGGTCCAGCAGGGTCGAGGGCTACGCGACAAGGACAAGAAAAACATGGATTGTTAAGTTAAAACTGATCTTTGGGAATAAAAGGATGGTATTTAACTCACAATGTTGGAAAAGAATAATGCAGGAGGATATATTTATTCTGAATAAGTGTTGAGTGGCAGTTGAGAATCTTTTGTATTTTGAAAAACCCCACTGAAACTTGAATTGTAGCCTTTAAGCTTGTTGTAGTTCAGTGCTTCCGTGTTTTAATACAAAGCCAAAGCAGTTTCTTGCCATAACATTGGAGCTTTACCAGCACTTGGTTTCTTGGTCGTAGGCAGTGGTGGTTCTAGACCAGTTTTATTAAGGGGGCCAGGTTAGGGCCAGTTGTTGTCAGAGGGGCACATTCAATCCGGGACAAAAGAGACAAGCTTTCAAAATGTCTTATTTCGCATATAATGTAATGTTTTAGTATAACTTACAGTTATTTGTTTCAGCAACAGGATTTTTTCAGTAACTTAGTTATAGTTTTATTAAATTACATTGTACAAAAAAAAAAAATCCTGTTAACTTTAACTTAAGTTACAGTACATTCTTTGATGCAACACATCTTTATAAGGCTCAATGAACAGTAAAAGCTCTAGTGTGCAAGACATTCTCTGGATCCCAGTTTGTATTTTGTATCCCACTATAACTTTTGCTAGGAAACAATAAACATCTCCACATTCACCCCTGTGATTAGTCATGATGTGAAGTATACACAAAATTAAATACTTGATTGAAGGCCATCATCTGTGCATTATGGAGGGGCATACATAATTTGTCCAGCCTGGTAGGAGCAGTAGGCTACTCTTATTGCTATTTATGTATGAAAAGTGCTGTTTAAATGCAATGCATTGTTAAATTGTAATGCTAATAATTAACTCTTTAAGAAGGGGGAATCAGAACAATTTCCAGCAATATCCAAAGACTGTCCATGCAATGGAAATGCAGATTACAAGGACAAAATACTGTCTACAATGGAATATATATTACTATGATTACTGTAGACCAGGGCTATTCAATTACAAATTCAACTGGGCCAGATTTTAAAACCAGGACACAGATATGGGCTGGAAATTGTTTCAGGAGTTGGGATCATTGGTATTTTTTTTTGACACACTTATATTGTTAATCCTTATTGGTTCAGTTCTTTATCAATGCTCTTGTCAGTCCTATTTATTACTAAATAATTGAATACAAGGCCTATTATTTAAAAAAATAAACTTAAATGTTGTTTCTAGAGCAGCAACAGGATTTACAACAGCAAAGTCACTAATATCTCACTGGAAACAAATCTAAAATGTCAGTAAAATAAATCATATTCCTAACAACATACTGACTGAAGTTTAGAAAGAATGAACAACTCAGTCCCTCCTGTCCTCTCTCTGCTGCTGCTGGTGGTAGAGGGGAGGGCTGGTTTGTCTCAGCCAGCTGAGAATAATGTGTCATATTTTAATGTACGTGGCAAACTAAGCTAAACAGTTACTGAGGACAGACAGCTTTCACTTTAGCTTGTTTGTAACAATAAGCTAAGTAATAAGCTTTTAGACAATGCACATTTGTTTCTTCTATATTTGAATTGCATGTTTTCTTATTGTCCATTGTTTCATTTGTTATTCAATATTTCTTGTTGCTGTTGTTCAGAACATTTTTAACAAAAGCTTTCAAAAAGAGATGATTGAGAAAAAGAGAAAGAGAAAAAGAGAGATTGTTGGCTCCCCCCCCAGAACTGCCACAGGTCGTAGGTTGAACCCTGAATAAACTCTCTGTGCTTATGAAGTTGTTGATGAGTGAAAACCACTGGTTTTACTACTTTGTGAGAATAAAAAACCTGCTGATTTTAGAACAGTTAGGGTGAATAAATGATGTATTTGCACTGATTCTTTGCATAGATCTATTTGGACCAAAGGAATCCAAGAGAAAATATCATATTCAAGTATTCTTAAATAATAAAACAACAAATCGTTGATGCTATGTTTTTTTATGTCCAAGTATCGCTGAACTCATGTCTTGACGCACACTGTTTCTGTTTTCTTCTCATTCCCTCTTCATTTCATGAAAATGGAAAGCAAACAAAAATGCACTACTTGATGTGTAGTTCTCAAATATTGTAGTTCTTGAACTTTCTAGTTGTTGAAAAACAATAATCATTTGTGAAATCTACAGGCAGCAAACAGGAACACTATTTGAAATCTTGAAAACTCAGTATTTGGTCAAGTTCAAAGGCATATTTGATCATTTAATCAAATTCAAGTCAGCAGCTGTGGCTCCTCTGAATTGCACATATATTCAAACTCAAAAACACCTCCCCACTCAGACAAAAAGACCCGATATAAACAAGTGAACAGTGGAGTATTGTGCTGGGTGGTGTGTTCTGGGGACGAGGGAACTGTGCATGTTCACACAGCCTCAGAGTGGCTCTTATCAAACTAGCTGTTGTCCTTTGAAGAGCCCTGCTACTCAAGGTCACACTGAAACACATTCAGGGTCTGTGGGAGACTCCTGAGCTGTGGAGACCTTCATTATCTGGCCTGTTGTTGCTCGCCTTTTTTTTTTTAATAGAACAGCAGCTGGAAGCTTTTAGTTTTCTATTCAACAACGATAATGCAGAAGTTCTCCCTCAGGGTTTTGTAGCGGGACTGAGAACGTGCAATCATGGCATCTAAATTATTTTTTCACACATTTTACAAGCAGAAGAAATAGAATAGTGCAGTGTTTGCAGTTGAATGCATTGGAATGTCACATAAAGGTGGTCCGGACTCACCTGTGATTCTTCCTATCTTCCCCTCAAACAGAGTCCCCACAAAACCAGCGACGTGCGCCCCAAGACTGACCCCGATGAAGTGGAAGGACTCTAGTTTGCATCCATGTTTCTGTTGGACAAGACAGTTTTTCACCTTTGTCAATTTTTACTTTAACCTGGAACCGTTTATTTCTTCTAAGCCATGTCTTTGTATTTCATAGTATACGTAAGAATCTGTCCAGTACAGTAAACACAGTAGAATACATGTATTATCTTCATTTTATTCTGCCTACGGCTCTGGAGGTCCACCTGGACTCTTACTCATGAATGCTTCTTGGTCCAAGGTTTCCATTATTCAAAAATGTAGTCAATTGTAAAGACTCACTCAAAGTGCTTTACACTACATTCGCGCCATTCATGCAATGATGGCAGTGGCTATCATGCAAGCTGTCTCAACTGCTCATCAGAAACAGAAACTAATACATTCACACACTCAAACAGTGACGGCACGGCCATCTGGAGCAATTTGGGGTTCAATATCTTGCCCAAGGAAAATTTGTAATGAATCAAATTGTAAAAAGTGGACTTGGGATTTTGGGGGCCCCTGGGCGTTTGAGTCCCTGGGGCAGTTGGTGACCCAGCCTTTGGCTGAAGTAGTTTACTGCATGATGTACATATTAAAATAGAGGTCATAAAAAAATAATGTGGACCAGCTTTCCTATTCCTAATTTCCTCTTCTCCTTAATCTCTTAATATTTTCTAATTCTTTTAAGATTTCAAAATATTATATTAATTCTAAATGCAACCTGTAATTGTTCTGTTGAACTAATTGTGGATGTGTGTTAGTTGTATGGTCGAACTGACATTATGTTTCATGTGCAAGTCTCCTGAAAAATTATGCGTTATGAAGATTACTTGTTTAAATAAACTATTAACTATTTAATTGGACCGTAATTAGCTATACTCAAGCGTTTCTTTCACCTGCAGCTGGTTGATGAGGACAGAGATCTGCACAGCCACCTCCTTGTAATTCTCCACCACCAGATTGTAGGCAAAGGAGGCGCCGTAGACCCAGTCCACCACCAGCACGTTCACATCCTGTGCCCTGAGCAGAGCCCGGGCCAGCTCCTTCACCCAGGACGGCTTGTTGCCCAGAGCCCTGCGGGGGTAGAAGGGGGTCAGGGATGGTGAAATGAAACAAGTGATGAAACAAAACAAAGCTAGTGCCCCCCAAATTCAAATTGTATTAGCTTCTCCTAAACTTCATTTAAACATTTTTTCTTATGAAAATCTTTGTTAGACTGATGCATTAATTTCCAGTTGTCTGTGGTCTGAATTAAAGGTGCAATGTGTAAGAATTGAGACTGTTCTCCACCTTTCGAATTCAAACTAGGGGGCAGCATAACACATTTCAAGTCATAACTGCCACTAACTGATGTTAGCTAGTTAAAAAAAGTTAGACTATCGCTTCTTGAGGTACAAAGTGGTAATGAGACAGGACGGACTGGCGCTAACTGGTTAGCATGCATCAATAGAAATATCTGCAGCACAGTATATAGATGTTTGTCCATATCTAACACATTGAACCTTTAAGGTCAGTGAAGGATAAAAAAACATTAATTAAAAGTATAATTTAATAAATTTAAAACAATACAATACACATTGCTTATTTCATATGAAAACAATGAGGATAAAAACTGAGATCTATGAGTAAAGGTTGAAAGGAATAAAATAACATAACTGATTACATGACCTTTTTTTGTATTTGAGATTATTTCAATTGTAAAAATTTTGTTTTTTTAGGTATCATTGTTTTAAAAAATAAATTCTTCAGAGCTTACCCAATGGAGGACATACTTAGATCCCATATTGACTTATGTGAGTGTGACTGACCATAATGTGAACACATATACTGTCTAATCTGTAAATGATTAAGCCTAATCTCCAACGAAGACCTGTTGGCTGTCTTTCCTTATGTCATCTATATATGGCCCAAGTTTGCCTGAAGAATAGTTTAAAATTTTCCTTTTTGTTCTAGATCAATTGTGTCTCTCATTCCTTTAAAGCCACAGCCGAAACTGTCCATTGCTTCCATTTTGTGGGGACTTACAGCCCAGTTTTTATTTTGGTTTCGGTCTTGGGTTTTTTTTTGGCCTTGAAAACCTGGTTTCAAATCTTAAGTATTTCTCTGTAACATTAAATAGTTATGGTTGAATAAGCAAAAATTTACAGAAATACAGAAATCTGTCAGGAGAAATGACCAAAACCAAAAGTTGAGTGTTCTTGTCAGACCCCATAGTTCATAATCAGTCTCACTGAGGCCTTCTTCTCACCTGTACCCGTGGATGATGACCTTGGTTGGGCGGGAGATGTTGAAGTAGGAGGACTGTGTTATAGTGAGGGACTCCTGGTTGAACATTTGTGCACAGTCCACGTTTCTCCTCGTCAGCAGCAGATACTGAACCTGTAGCTTGACTCTCTGCTGCCGGTACTCCAGCCAGGTGGTGTTATTGAGGTCCGCACACTCATCATATTCCTGCGTTTCTTCTACACCTGGTCGATCAAAAGGATAAAATGTAATTTTGACTAGACCAAAATGTTGAGTGTTGGTCACACATCGGCAACAACACATAAAATAACTGTTGACATATGGTCAGGGCCGTGGCCATGAGTGGGGGAAAAGGGGAAAGCATTCTAGGGGGGCCCATGCAGTCCAGCACTAATGTTCATTTTAAATATAAGGAAACATAACTAAATTTAATTTTGAACCAAAAAACTCACCCTTACTTATTAAAATATAAAAATAACATTTTTAAAACATTGCTTCAGTAAAATATAGCCTGTTTCATAATGAAAACCCCCATACCTGAAAATGGCATGAGTTATGTTTGTTGTACGCAACGTCAAAACATCAAAAGTGCACCGCATGCAGCAGCCCATGTATGTATTTATGTAGGAAATAGAGAGAGAGCACAGCATGTGTTGACATGAGTTAAGCAGATTTGCAGAGGGTCCATTTCTGGACCTTTTCAGGGGCCCAGTCATTTCTGTGGGCAGCCCTGTATGTTGTATATCTCACACCAGATGCTGGCACAACAAAATTTTAACTAAAGGGATAATCTGCCAGATCTCCCTCCAATCTTTAGTAATATACAATAGCTCATTTAAATAGACATGTTAAATTAAATATAACCAGTCGGGTGCTCAACTTGTGTTTATAAGAGAAAAACAAGATTTTCAAGTATTCTTATTCTTGGATTCAAAGGTGGTGATTTCATGCGTATTTATATGATGCAATGTTAAAATTTGTATTGTATGTTTCTGCTCAATAAACACATAAAGTACTACAATTAATGTTCAGCTGAAACTACAAAAGTCATCTCATTGTCAAAAATCATGTCAAATAGATCATTCTTTAATAGTGAATTCAATTGTTTTGATAACTGGATTGTTTCACAGTTCTGTATTATAGAAAGTACTTATGCAGTGTTCCCAGTATCATTGTGTACTGAAATTAGTTTCACACAGGTTTAAATCTATCTCTAGCGTCTCTGCAGGTATGTTTCGAAATATTCCATGAAATATACAAAAAGAAGTAATACAAAAGGAAAATCTCTCTTTAAAAGGCAGACCACTTACCCAACACCAATGATGTGATGTAGATAGTCAAAACACAGAGGAGGATTGTTTTGTATTCCCGAGGCATTTCTGTAGTAGCCGAGAGGTGAATGGGGAGAGTAGCTGCCTGGGAGCTTTAGTTAGGGCTTAATAGTACTCAGCTGCTCTGTTTAGCTCCAGATTGGTGGATGGAGATCAGCTTTTGGCTTGAGAAAATCCGAGCTCTGTGCAGTTCTGTAACTCTGGAATGACTCAGTCTTTAACTGGTAGGCAATGAAGCAAGGCAGGAAACCATAAAAAAAAACCCAAACAAAATTTTGTAATGATCCTAGCAGGGTTTGCTTGCAGTTTCTTTTTGTGTAAAGCTCCCCCTTAAGCCTGAACAAATCCACAACAAACCTTCTCCTGTCCTTTCACTTAGGCATCACACTTATCAGGGGGTGATATTTTTTTCCTTCCCAGACTGGGGACAAGTGGTTGAAGCTCTTTGCCTGGAATCCATGACCTCATTGGTGTTCAATGGCTGTTTGTATAAAATGCTGGACTCTGGCCTGGCTGCCCACTGGCTTGTGTGTGGGTGTGCTTTAATGTTTGTTTGTGTGATTGGGAGAGAGCAAGATTGTCACAAAAAGTGATGTGGGGTCACACTGTTGTGTCTGTGGGAAATCTATTATTAGCTGACTGATTGTTCCATTACGAATGCTTTTTTACATAATCAAGGCTCTTTGCAAATATGGTAAAAAATACATCCATTTCTTTAACTGGTTAAATCAGTTTATTGCTTTCTTACTTGATCATAGTGGATATTCAAATGGTTGTGTTTTACAGTTATAAATACATAGTAGGTTTGACTGGATCTTGCCTGTAGTTTTAAGGTAGTAATTAAACAAAAAATGTAATCCTTTCCAAGAACAAAGCATTCTGACTACAAACGGTAAATTTAACTATATTAGCTACTGGAAGTTTACCAATCCTCATAGATTTAAGTTGAGGCTGCCTACTGTGCTGTCTACCTTAAATTGTCTCTCCTGAGGTTGAGGTAATTATCTGTAAAGCCAAATTTACTGAAGAAACTGTGAGTGAATGCAGCTTATCTACAATTAAACCCCAGATGTAAAGGAATCTATTACTTCTGCAACTCCTAGTGGTGGTAATACCAGATAACAAAAACCTGTGCTCCACAAATAGTGCTTTTAGAGAAACATCAACATTGATGATTAACATGCTTTTATTATATATGATTTAATTAACTTTTCGCCTTAGTTTGTCACTGCAGGAAAATCTAGTTATTCATGCATGAAAACATAATTTCACAAACAGACATTAGGCAATGATATATTTTACTATTTTACAGCAAAACAATCACTTATACTGCAGTTTTAATATAGTTCTAACAACTTTTCATTAATTATTTAGCTCTTATTTTCTCCCTCTCCTTTGGCAACTCAGAGGCGAGCCACTCAATGGTGCGTTTGCGTGCTTCCTCCCAGGTGTATCTTGGGGTGTATCCCAAATCCGTCTTAGCCTTCTGATAGGAGAAGCTGAACGGGGTGTTCAACATGGTGAGGAGCTGCCTGTTCATCGGTGGGACAATGCGTATGAAAGGGCGGAGCATCATGCACAGAGTCTCCAATAGGAAGCAGAATACGTAGAGGAAGCGGAGCGGCAGAGGAAGTTTCTCTTGGATGTTGAAGCCCAGAGGTGACATCATGACGTGGTTGAAGTCTGAATAACTGACAGGTGGTGTGTCATCAGAAATCAAGTAAAACTTTCCACCAATAGCATTTCTTGTTTTTGGATCTTTAAGGCTGCGGGCTGCTTGGAGGTGAGCCATAGCCACGTTGCCCACATAAACAGGATTCACTAGGGCCTCTGGGACAGACATACGAAATAGAACGTCTTTGTTTCGTATCCCGTCACCCATGTGGCCCAGCAGGAAGCGGCAGCCCTCCCCATAGATGTACATTGGTCTGAGGGCGCATGTGGCCAGTCGGCCTCCATTTTGGAGCACCTCGCTGTGGGCCTGCAGGGTTCTCTCCTCAGCCTCCTTTTTGGTCTTGCTGTAGGTAAACTTCAGAGAACAGTCATAAACGGTGTCCTCACTGCCGTTGATTATGGGGTCACCCTTGGGGTTTGGTCCCATCACCTCGATGGTGCTAGTGTAGATGAAGGACACCACGTTCTCTTGAATACATGCCTCCAGAAGCAGCTGCGTTCCTACAAAACAAAGATGCTTTTGACTTTACAGAAGATCAGAGGAAGTCAAACTTTTCTACTGGTTTCACACCAACGAGAAAGTAAGCTGATGAAAAACTTATATCGAAATGCTTGTGTTTGGACGTTTTAACATTCATGCCAGAGATTGCAGCAGAAAACTAAAAAGGCTGCATCTAAACTTGTTGAACCATTTTCTTAATGTCAGGAATTGGAGCACTGAAAGAAGTTGAAGTGGCCATTGCCGTAGTTGAAATTAAAATGGAAAAAACAGAAAATGCAGTTCAAGAGTCAACACTGAAAAAAGTTAATGTTGAAGTGTCAGTTGAAATGTGAGTAGTGAAAGAAGATGAAGTGTGAAAGCAGCTGAAGTGTAAAAGTAAGCAATGACAGCAGTTAGAAATTTAAGTGTAAGTGCTTATAGCAGCTCAAGTCTCAGTTGAAGTGTAAACACTGGAAAAAGTTGGTTTGGAAGTGTTCGCTGAAGTGTAAACAGAAGCTGAAAGCAGTTGAAGCATCAATTAAAGTAAGTCATGTAAGAAGTTTGAATAATCAGTTAAAGCATAGGCACTGAAAGTCAGTTGAAGTGCAATCAATTTAAAGAGTTCCTCTTAATCTGTGTCCATCTTTTATATAACATGTCTGTGATGCATAATAATAAATACTGTTCAATTTCTTGATAATTATAAATTCAAGAAAATAACATAATTTAAAACATTTCTTGTTTAAACATGTCTGTCAGTTTCCCAGTGGAGCTTTCAGTGGATTAAGGCCTTACCTTTGACATTGACCCCGTACATCTCACTGTACTCCACTGACTCAATAACGTCAATGATGGATGCAATGTGGAAGACGATTGATGCACCTCGACAAGTTTTTCTCAGGAAATCACCGTCTCTGATGTCGCCCTCGAAAACATTCAACTTTGTCGCCTCTACAGTCTGACACAGTAAAATCAAGAATAAACGCATCAATTAACACAATATAAGGCTTTGTAATTTGCTATATAAAATACTAATGCTGCAGTATTTTCTTGTGTCTTTTATCTTTAAATAGAGTTATTGCTGCTGTCAAATGAGAAGCTGTTAAGCAGTCAGAAATAATATAAAACAGCATTAGAGTGGCGTCCATCTCTGTTTAGGTTTTATCTAATGGGTTGTTAAACAGTTACATAAACTCAGTGGTTTACGAATCTGTTTAAACCCAAGGCTATCATTTTAGTTGAGGATAAGACAGGAACACCATTAATCAATCTCTGCAATTATTAGTTTGCAATTACACGCGTGTAAAAGGATTTTGATACTCTGAGCTTTCCCTGATTAAATTAACTTTTATTAAAATTAACACAAATGAAACTAGTGCCATTGCAAAGTGTTCAAAGAGTAAATAGTACTGCATTCAGATTAATACTATCAATGTGTCTCTCTTTGAAATGGAGTTATACGGCACAGCATGGAGGCCAACTTCCCCATGTAGTTTTAATGTATTTCATATTTCTTCTGACAAATTTCATGTGTGCTGTAGAGAGAGAGAGAGAGAGAGAGAAAACAAGATGAATAATTTGTAGGTTGACAGATTTTACCCTCCAGACTCTGTAAAAGTTGGGGCTGTACTTGTTTGTCCAGCAGTCGAATCTCAGCCATTTCCTCTTCTTCTAGCAGCAGCCTCACCAGTCTCTTTCCCAGGAATCCACAGGCTCCCGTCACTACACACACATCACCTCTCAGAGACATCGCGGCTTAAATCTCTCTTGGTATGAGGACAAAAAAATCCTTCAAACTTCTCTTATACAATGGACCTCTTGAAGAGCCTCCTCAAAAGAAGAAGTTCCAAATAAAAAAAAAAAGAATACAACTTTTGTGTTCTTGGATGTTTTGAGTTCTGTCTGTGAGAGAATGACAGCACTTTCTGCTCTCCCAGTCTGAGCCCTGCCACTTTTTGTAAACCCAGAAACTTTACTAAAAAAACTCTTTATTTCCAAGGCAGTGTGAAAAAAGGGGATGGGCTCTCCTACTTCAAGGTGGAATGTGATGCCAAACAAAATGGGGGCTGGAACGTTTTATATGCCAAGGACAGTTGCTGTTGGAAAATGCAATCTTTTATTTAATTGGGAATAACCCTTTATTACAAGAGGTAGGCAGAGATGAAGGTTATTTCTGAAGACACCTCCCACAAAATGAATGATTCCCCAAGATAAAACAACTGATATTTAGTGGTGGACACAGGCAATTTTCAATCGTGTGGCCAGGATGGGGCTAGTGGTCACTTTGGGGTGGCACAGAAATCTGTTGTGGTGGCAGCCCGGCTGACGGTGAGTGTCCTGGTTTTTTCTACTTTTTATCAGTTTTTCTGCTTTTTCCCTTGGTTTCCTGTTCTCTGCCGCCTCTCTGTGTTTTCTCCCCGTGTGCTCTCTCTCCCTCTGCTCCTGAGCCCAGCCAACTACCTGCACCTGCAACCATCATCCACCTCGTCTGCCTGCCACACCTGCCAGTCATCAACCTCATCCCAGCCTGTATTTCAACCCCGGTTCTCCACACCATCCTTGCTTGATCGTCGTTGCTCCTACCCGGTGCCATCCCCACGTTCAGGCTTTCATGTTTCTTGTTTTTTCACGTTTACCCTGTACCTTGTTGCTGTCTTCCCTAACCTTGTCCCTTTGTCTGTTTTCCTCCCAGGTACACTCACCCTCGTCCTCCGTTCGGCTGGGCTCACCCACTGGCCCACTCCTCTTGGACTTCCCTCACGGCGTCCTCCCTGTTCCCCCGCCTCTCCACGCTTCCTCGGCCCCTGTGTTCCCCTGCTCTCTGGCCCCCTGTCTCCTTGGTTCCCCGTGCCTGTACTTCCCCGACGTCCTCCTCTCCCTCCAGTCCCTCTCACCCTTTTTCCTCCAATAAACCTCCTTCCTTCTGAGTGCTGCATTCGGGTCCTCTCTGTCCACACACCACACCCCGTAACAGAAATCACCATTATATGAACAAAAAAATACATCTAATTAAAACATAAGGTGCTCAAAAATCTGCAAAAACATCTGAAAGTAAATCAGAATATTCCCTAAAAGACTGACAATTGGTATTACATACATTGGTATCCACAATGGTAGAAGTAGGTATGATTTATATTATGATTGATGACTACATTTAAATGCCATTTATATATATGCTTTTCTTGGATTATCTGAAACAAGCCCCTACCAAGAAGCTAGGCAGAAATTATCCTGGTGAATTACTATTTGAAATAAAACATACACTAATGAACCATGAGTAAACGCCTTCTAACACTGTGTCACAATCGTACAAGACCACAAACAAAGGACCACAAACAAAACTCCAATTTTACTGATAAAAAATTCTTTAAAATATAATTTGACTTAAACTGATATGATGTAAATTGTTACAATGCATCATTTTGTGCATGCTTAGCATCCTTTTCTTTTACCTTAGGTTTTTGAACGATGCATGATAAAGTCAGCTTATGATGGGCAGAAATTATACTGGTGTGTTACTATTTGAAATAAAACAGACTGCTATTTTTCCCTCCTGACATGCAAGGGCCTCTAAACTTTGCTAAATACATCAGATGGAATAATTAAAAGCAAATGCAATCTTCCTTCTGATATTATTAGCTTACCTGTAATCATTTTGTTGGTTTGCTAGACTTGTCAGTTGTAAAGTCAACTCTCCAGAAGCACTAGTGGGTGCACACATAAACCTGTCACTGATTGGCTTATGCTAATATTCTTAACCTGACCCTAACCATCTTACTCCTAATCAACACAATCAAGGAAGGCAACAATTACTAGCTTATGAGATGCTGAGTAGAGTGGATCAAGACTTCACCATCCTAGGAGTTGCTTGACGCACCTGAGTTGGTGTGTGTGTGTCACACTTAAAATCCTAAAATCTGCCTATGTAACATGTTGTATCTACTGCGCACGGCCACACGTGAGAGAGAGCAACACCAGCAGCTACTGTGCCATTCATCATAAACTTTGGCTTTAAAACCCTCATACAACAAGGCCCATTTTGCTGAATGCAAAATAGATTAGTAACCTGAGGTTAGTAAACATGTTTAGCTCAGCATTGGCTAATCTTTATTGTTGTTTTTAGCCTAACATGGAGTTTGTTTTGGAGTCTGTGTTATGCTGGGACCTGGTCGTTTTATGGTCTTAGTGGACTTCACCTCGTTGGCTGCGCTGTGTGTACAGTACAGAGGAGCGCCTATGCACATCACAGCCACATTTCAATGTTATTTTTATGTTAAGGTGTAGCTAATTTTAACAACTTTATATGCTGTTGGGTAGTTTAAACGCTTAAACTATTATGTATTTATTTATGGTTTATTTTATTAGAGACCGATACATCTAACATAGATAAACTGAAAACAGCAATCCAATATGTGTACCATAGTGTTTTAGCAGTTGCTAATTTGCAACACCTGTCCCTAGAAGGGCTTTTTAAGAAATAAAACATTAAAACAGTGATGAAAAAAAGGAAAAAAGAAAATACAATACAAAACTAGTAACTATAGCTTTAACATAAATATAGAATATAGAGTAAAAAGTACAGTATTTCCCTCTGAAATGTAGTGGAATAAAAGTATAAATTATCATAAAATGGAAATACTCTTGAAAGTAAATGTATCGCTGCTCATATCCTGCTTTTTGAAAGGAATTGAAATTGAAAGGATAAGTAGATCAGATCTGTACTCCAGTACATTAATTAAAGTCAGTACTTTCCACACCTCAGGACGGTACAAGGCTAGGTCAGCCAAATAAAACAACATCCAACAACCTTGAAAAGGTGACATTTATCTCCCAGAAAGCCAAATATGGTTTCCCTTGCACAGTGATGAATTATAGTTGGCCATGGTTTGCTCAGTAAATAGTACACTGTGGCTGTGTGGTGGAAAGTCTCTCTAACTAGTATTATCATATTCGGAAACATCCAAAATATATGGGCTTTGCTTTTCTTACGCTTCAGTTTTTAAACAGGAGCCTAAAACATCCAGTCTCCTCATCTTCTTTTGCAGTTCTTTCTATGTAGATTTAGCTTTTTATTTGTAGCTTTATTTGAATTTAGGATAGGTACAATGAAATTAGGTCATGTATATTTATACTTGTTTTATACTTATGGTATTATACTTGGTATTATAAAAGGTACTGCTAAAGTGGATTCCAATTAGCTTTGAGTGTCTTTTCTAAAACAAACTGATCTTGTAATTTCAGTAATATTTTATGCATCACATACTGGTGTCTGTCTGCTAGTCCTTGGCATAGCAGTTGATATCGCAGCTGTCTGTTGTCTTATCTGAAGTCTCAAGGGTAATTTCATCGTCACTCACTTGCACCAGATGTACCAAAGAGTCTGTGTGTTCATGTGTGTGTTAACAATATGCTTTCCCTCCTGTAGCTGCTGAAGAACTTGTGTCTTACCAGCTGATGGAACTTTGCCCTTCGCTGACAGTGAATAATGAGGAACATGAAGATCATAATCAACCTTTTATTTGTATTTTAAAACACTGCATATAATATAAATATACATAACAAATCTAACATGTATCCATACATTGTTTCTGCTAACAGTACTTGACAGAGCTTGTGTTAAAGCAGTAAGGTACAGCAGTACATCTATAAGCTTCTTGCTGTTTGTCCTCTTTTACTTTTCAAGCAGTATCAAACAGTAATGACTCCAGAGCTTCTGTTCTTAAGCATAAAGCTCAGGAACAGTCTCAGCTTTATAGGGTAGGCTAATGGAAAAACTAACTGCAGTACAGTTTATGAGAATCTACTGGGATCTAGTTTATCTCTCTTTATTTAGGATTTATGGGAGGAAATAAAAAGCTATTTTACTTCATATTGATGATTTATGCAATCATTAGAATTGACAGTGTCTTTAGCTAAGTAGTAAGGCCAAAACCCAGACCAAAACTTAAAAATAAGCTGCTTTATTTGTTTATATTGAGGGGATTTCCACTTTCTTCTGTACAGTCCCTATTCAAGTTCTAAATCATAATAGACACGCTGTCTTTGTTGTCTAGCTTACATCTCATGACTCCATGCCGCAAAACACAAATGATTTTTACACATTCCTCCATCCTACATTATGATATGAAGAGAGCTCAGTATAGTCCTCGCAACTTGTGCGTCATCATAGATGACATTTCTCTGACATGCTTTGAAATTTTGTAGTTACCAAGACAGTACTTGTTAGCAGGATAAAGTCATCATTGTTTTTGGTCTATCAATGAGATTAGTAGAGGGTAATGAAATGATAAAATAACGCCAGCTTTATCTTTTGATCACGTTATTTCAGTGCTGAAGTCTAAAGCTGCGTTTACACCAAAAGAGTCCATCTGATTGAATTTTGACCTGTGAAACAGTGATACTCATCAATCAATGTCCTGTCACTTTGAGAGGGAGGGTGGGTTTCTTTAAGGATGTGACGGAGTGTTTCCTTTTACATACTGAAATCGCAGAGTGGAAGAACACAAGCAGCAGAGCAGGGGGGATGCTGCATGGCTGAGAGTAAAGGCAAGGACAGGAAATGGCACAAGACAGTTGAATGCTAATGTTAACTAGCGAGCAATGCTTGCATCTGCAGCATGTTTGCAACCCACACTAATTTTCTGCTTTGCCTTCTTCTTGCCTTCAACATACTAATTCCATCTTGCCGACTCTGGTCTGACAGTGGCAAAAGTCAGAAACCCCACGATCAGCTTTTAGCTGTGGGCAGTGGACACTCCTGTATCTCAGCCTCGTCCACCGACCCCTCCGGCAGATGAACTGTCATTGTACAGGCACGAATCCCCCCCAGAGGCTCCAGAACGTTGAACACCCTGTCCCACACATCCTGCTCTGGATCATAGCGCTGCACAATGTCAACCATACATCTGCTGTTCCAGGAATACCCTCCTACAACATAGATCTGCCCGTTAAACACTGTCACACCAACGTCGCTCTGGCCCCGTGGCATTGGTGCCACCACCATCCATTGGTCTGTCTCTGGGCTGTAGTATTCGCAGCTCAGGACGTCGTCATAGTCGCTGCTGCCTCGGAAGTGATTCCCGCCCATGACATAGAGTCTGTCTCCTACGGTGCACATGCAGTGCAGACCACGGAGCTCCATCATGTCGGCTCGTCGGTTCCATGTGTCAGCGACTGGGTCGTAACACCAAAGCTCCTTCTGAAATGTGTCACGGGTGATGCCACCTGTGTGACGAAAGAGAATTCATTAGATGTTACAGTCTATCTTAAAAATACGTCTCTATGATATATCTTACAGGCACAAAAATGTGTTTTATGTAATGTTATGAAACAGTTTACTTTCTTTGACTTGTGCCCCCCCCACATAAAAGAGTGATTTTCCAAATCCAAATCAATAAATCAATTAGTTATCACTAGTAGTATACTGTATGTCCATGTTAATAAAAGCTATAATTTGAGGTTCTCTGCACAATATGCACATGCACAATGTGCATGTGGTAAAACGCTGCATCTGTTTTCACACAGTCTGAACTTTGTTCAATGAGGACGAGTGAACATGAGTTTGTGGAAGAGTTTGTGGCAGTGGTCGGGTACTTTCCTATGGTCAGATATTGAAAACAGACGTAATGACACATTTCCTTTTACACTGTAATGGCAATGTGAACAATGTGTTTCTCTTCATTGTGATTCTTTTGGACTTGGACTTTTTTCACACCCTCATTTCTTTAAAATACCATCCAAAGTGTAAGTGGTCTTCCTCCTAAAGTTCAAGGTGTTATTGCACAGTGCAACAGAATTTCCCCCTGAATGGTGAAATGCTTAGTTTGCAATACCTTTTTACCACACTTAAAAAAGAAATTAAGATTTTAATGTAAAATGGACAAATGGACACACAAAGAGGAAATAAAATGAAATCACAGGATATATGTATGAAAGAAGCATTGAATACAAGGGAATGTGTTTTTGAAAAAGATAAATAGATTAATGTGTCACGTACAGATGTCCATCTGAGATAAGAGGATTTGTCTTGTGGTCTGGAAATGTTCTATACATGATGAAATGGCATTGCCCAGTGAGGAATACTCTATTTTCTGATGTTCCTTCTAATTGTAACAGCACTTATTATAGAAACCAAGCCTAAATCTTACATGGGCACTTGCTGAAAAATACAGTTCCTGTACAAGTACACGTAAACAAAACTTCTAACGTTAGGTTTAAGAGATTGAAGAAATAAAAACACTGAATTTTTTTAAATCACATGTGCATGCTCGTGTGTCCACAAATTAAAGAAAAAGCATCTTCCAGGACTTCACGAGTTCTAAAATCTGCTGCTTTTGCTGTCCCATCTCTTAGTTTTTTCTGTCCAATACACATCTTGCACATTTGCTAATTATTCTTTTAGTTCGACTTTCAAGATATGGATAAATGTAATTCTAAATGCATTTCCCTCTGACCTTTTACTGAGCTTGTGTTTCAACTCAAAAACTATATATATTGGTAAATAATACATTACCAGCACCTTATAGCTTTTGAGGGTATGGGATTTAAATGTGCTGCAACCACAGGTCTTTGTGTTTCCTGCAACACAACATGTGAAACTTATGTTTCTATTCACAACGTGAGCTGATTTCCTGTCCAAAGTTGCTAAGAAACCTGCCTACGATCAGACTGAGAGCCGCTCATGTTTTGCTCAGAGTTTGCTGCTAAACAGGAAGTGGTATGAATGAGTAGGTCAGCCAAGCAAGCGTGCTTGGCTGACCTATTCATTCAAACCACTTCCTGAGCAAGCGTTGTCAATAATTCATCTTGTCAAAATGGAACCTGTTGTCACTTATAGAGAATCAAAACAGAAATCCAAAAACAGTTTTAAATGTGAATTACAGTGAACAGCGCTCCTCTGACGGCTGATTGAGTGCCCATGAAAGTTTTTTTTTGATGATTCCACTGTCAAAGACCTGAAGCTGAAATCAGACAAATATTTCTGTCTTTCCTGTGTTGTGTGTTTAAGGTTTAATATGTAACATTTCTGCATTAAAATGTCTAAAATTGACTAGACCTATGTTGTATATTTTGTTGAGTTGTGTATTTACACTATCCCAAATGTTTCCAACAATGTTCAAACCCAGAGAAATAATTTTATTCAAGGTAATGGCATGTTTCATTCGGTCAACCCCTTCTAGTTGCTGTAACTTCCGGGGAAACACATGAATAAAACTTCCAATACATTACCTTCGCTGCAAACATGATTTCTGTCATATTTAATTGATTTTCATTGGCAAGGGTGGTTGTTTAATGGCTTCTTGGTATTAGTAGGACCTTTTAGCATCCACACTAGGTCATCATCTGCTTGTGTGAAATTTAATTCTGTTCTTATCAACCTTTTAAATCACTTTAAGGAGTGTGAAATTGTATCCACCTAAATGCATGGGCAGCACAAATGCTCTCTACAAATGCTCTCTACAAATGCTCTCTGCAAATACTATATGTAGAGTATTTGGATCAGGAATCACCTGACACTGGATGACATATGGATAACTATTCATTATTACCCTGAATGACCTGATTGCATCATTACAAGAGTGTCCTCACCAGAGAAAAAAGCGGTTGTGTAGTTTTTGTATGAATAATAACTGTCCTCTCTCTGTAGCACGTGGAAAACTTGCATGATGCTGTTAGACAGCTTAAAAAAAACTTCTTGAGGAAGTCAGGTTATGTGCTTGGCCTACAAAGCATGTGTTGGGAACACTGGAGACTGTGTGTCAAAGATACTTCCCCTTGACTATGAACAGTCAGTGTATGCTTCTTTTTACCACAAAGGCAAGATTTCTGTAACTTCAACCGTGACCGAGAAGTTATTGCTAACCAGACCACAACGATACAGTTACTCTAGGCTCTGCCGGCCTGTCCACCATTTATGTTCCAGAACATCATTGGTACCCTTCTACCGTGCATCTGTGATATCAATGAGGTTCCTGCGCAGAGCCCAAAGGATCCTAAAAGACAATATCCAGACCAGCCACAGCCTGTTCACTCTGCTACCGTCTGGCAAGAGATACAGAAGTAACTGCTGTCGTACCACCAGACAGGGCAGCTTCTTTCTTGAGGCTGTGAGGGTCCTTAATTCATCCTCGACACTCCACCATGTTAAATAGTCGTATTTCTATGCCTTATAATTTATTCACCCATCTACTGTGTATCATTTGGTATATAACTTTTCTTTTTGTGAGTATCATAAAGGGACCTACAACTACTAGTCCACAATGATTAATATGTAGTTTGTTATATACATTTTTTGTCTTTTATTTTTCTTCTCTACACCCAGATTAACATGATGCAAAAGTTAAAAGAGAAACTGACTGTGTTGATTCTGTGACAATTTAAATATTCATAACTTTGGACAGAAGGGAAGGATCAGTCTAACACTGTTGTAACTGGATTTAAAACTGAAAACACTGCACATTCTTTCAGCTCAGAGCATCATGTTGTGTTAGCTGAAAGGATTCAAGATTGGTGGGATGCATCAAAGGTGGCGGAATGACATAAAGAGAAACAGTCTATGATGGAGCAGAGGAGGAATCAGGGAGAGAAGATAAACAAACAGAGAAGCTGCCAGAGACAAAGGCAGGATTAAACACTCACAAGGGAATAGCTGGAGCTCTAAGGTGAATATGAAACCTTAGGGGTCACCCTTTCCCTCATCTGCTCACCCTTAACTACCATTAAACACTGACTGTTGGTTAGACCAGCAAGAGATAACTGAGTCATTTTTGAAACTGTCAAATGGGTAATTTAGGAACGCAGACTTTACACACTTGTTCACAGGCCACTGTGCCTTTGAGCAAATTTTATATTACTATATTATCCTACTGTCTAGTATTGGATCATTCTTAAAGAAAAACATTGCTTTATGTTTCAAACTGTACTTTGAACCACTGAAATCTTTATTATAGGAATTTAAATTTTGATTTTAATTTAATATCTTCTTGGTACTTTATCCCATGAAAACAGAAATATACTCAATGGAAAGATGTGTGAATAGACATGAACTTACTCAAGATGGTTCAAACTGAGGCAAGAATGCATTCACATGAGTTGAAAATGTTACTACTTTAGAGAAGCATTTGGTCTTATGTCAAGGTTAAAGAGTGTTTAACATTGTTACCTTACCTGAGATATACATGAGGTCTCCGTGAACTGTTCCAGCATGTCCGTAGTGAGGCTCCACCATACTGGTCACAAATGTCCACTCATTTTTCTTCAGGTTGTAGCATTCCACAGTGTCTGATCAAAGTGACAGACAGATGTTTGGGGTTGAATTTTATTTAAGGGTGAGTAAACTTTTCCAAGGGCAATATAAGCATCCTGATGTGCATATGTTATTTTTTGTCCACCAAGGTATAGTGGAAAAAGTTTTTTTTTTCTTATAACATGTTGACATGCAATTTTAAAGTTATATTTTTATACTAGCAATGTATTTTATGACAATGTAAAAAAACAATATGACAGTATGAACTGGGTCACTTGTAGTGATGAACCTACAGAGAATTATCACCTGAAACTGCTGCTCTGAGATTCAGCTCAGTGTTAAGCTGTGCGTCTCAAACTTTACTGTTTTAGTTCACTCTTACCACTTGTTGTTTCCATGCCGCAGCAGGCAGCTGTTTTCAGTGTAAAGCTCTACAAACCCACTGTACACTACATGCCCCAAACGTCAGACAGACACAGTTAGAGACCAGCTGGTGAACATATGGAGCATTTAGCAGCTAAAGAGACAGATATTTCTCTCCGGAGTTGGTGAAGACCAAAAACAGAGCTATAAAATTGTGAAATTTGGACTTTTAAATGATGATAAAAATGAATTATCTATTGATCAGCTGACAGTAGTAAAAGCAGTACTGACAGTAATTACTAGCAGCTCACCAATCTCTCCTGAGGCATTCCTTCCTCCGACTGCATACAGTTTCCCCTTCAGAGCGCTCAGGTGGAAAAAAGTCCGCTTCTCGTTGAGTGAAGCAATCTGAAGCCACTTGTCGAAGCGCGGGTCATAGCGGTAGGCGCTGTCTATGGCTGTCTTACCCTTGGTGTCATAAGTACTCTGGCCTGAGAAGTCAACAAGAATCAGCGTTAGAGTGGTAACAAAATGGAGGACACAATTTAACCTGTGAATCAATCTTATTTTAAAAAGTCGGGATGATGCATCATGTACCATGAATTCACCTCCAAGTGGTTCCTATTTACCAAGTAAATTAGGGCTTTACTTGTTGTTTCTGTATGCTAGGATCTAGTCTCCTATCCTGGTTTTTGCATAGACCAAGAAATTTTAGATTCTTTGTTTTTGTGCTTATGTGTGAGTCCTAGACCAAATACCCATGTTAAATGGACACTTGCACAGTTTGAGCTGAGAACTGTGAATATTATGTGTTCATTATAAACTGTAGGTTTTCTGACCTCCAACAATGAAGAGGAAGCCGCCTAGAAGAGCTACACCATGCTGATAACGTGGCACCTCCATAGGCTTCAGAGCCCTCCAATGGCCGGTCTGTTCATCATACAGCCTCAGCTCCCGGCTCACCACCAGCTGCTGTCGCATCACACCACCCAGTGCCAGAATGTGGGTGGCGTCTGAGCGTATTTGTGTCCGCTCCGTTTGCAGAGCTGGCTGCATGAAAGGCATCATCTGGTAGTTGCTGGCCTCCAGCAGGAGGTTCACACAAGCTGTATCAGTGCGCATCATGGAGTCTCCTCCCTCTTCCTCATCCTGGGAGATCTGTATCAGCTCAGTGGGGCTCATCAGTGGGAAGCGAATATGGCGCATCAAGGTATAAACAGAGGAGCGGCGATTGGGGTAGTCATGGTCGAGCCATCCTCTGGCAATGTTGTAGAGCTCCAACTCTGAGAAACCCTCCAGGGAATTGCTGGACAGAGCGTTGGCCATGCTGGTTACGGAGAGCTGGAGGTAGCGACCACTTTCCACCATCGCTGACAGGTTCTGGCTGACAAACTCTCCTAAGTTTGATAAAACAAGGATGATCAACATCAGTTATCTTGAGTTTACTTTAGTTTTGAACTTAAAGGATGATGATACACTAATATTTAGTTTTATTACTTTCTATTTTAATATAAGAAAGTGGTCATAGGGACCGCTGAGGATCTGAAGAGTTGAAGGAGCCTTATGTATGTATTAATACAGGTCTAAGAAAGTACGTTGTACGTTTGTCACTATGCTCTTCGATCAGTTTTTCACAACACTCACCTATATTCAGCTGAACGTCCTCCAGAAGCAAGTCTGTGGCAATTTGCTCGACCTCCACACAGTTATCAATAGTGATCTGCATCGAAGAACAACACAGAAGGGGAATAAATTATAATATTTTTTTAAAAATCAGCTTTGCTCTGCATTACTCTGCCTTTCTTGCAGGTGCAACTATTAACCAATCTGTATAATTGAGTCTGAGAGGGAGTTCATTAAAGGACAGTGAGGCATACAGTTACATTTGAGGTCAGGCTCATTAAGCTGCCAAATCCCTCTGGCAGCTTAATGAGCTTGACCTCCAGTATAGCTGAGTTTAATGATCTGCCATTAATGAATTGATACAACATCATAGGAGTGTGACTCTATTATGAAACAAAAACCCTTACCTCTCTGCTCAGAAGCTGATTACAGAAGCTCAGAACAGGCATGACCTGCAAGAAGTTTGCAGCCTCCAGTGTTTCCTGGAGATTACCCATGTCAAGGGTGACTTTGGATGTGTAAATGAATTCTATAATGTTCTTTAAACCCAACTTGGTGACCCCATGCAGCTTGATCTCTCTCATCTCCTGCTCCCTCATGCCTCCTGAACAAAGAAAGAACAAGTACAAAGAGACAGGGACAAGGTGAATGAATGCTTTTGCATCGTTTCAGAAGATTTGTCTTGTGCAGGCATGATACCAAAGTGCACAGTCAGCAAGATTCAAAGACATAGCTGACACCGTAAAGCCTGGCTACTTACACCTATACAGTGTGAGGATAATAAAAGGACTATGCAAATATCTTCAGTGAAGCTGCAACTGAAAGGATGTTTAATGCAGAAGTGAGTTAGACTGTCAAGTCCTTCCTCTTTTCTTGTACTTTATGTATCTAAAATGAAAGTACCAGTAGTGGCAACTTATAACAATATATATTTGTTACTTTATATTTACCTTTTGCTTTTAAATATAAAAACAAGACACAGATTAGAATGTGTCTTTATTTGTATTTCTGCAAAGCTAGTGGTATAGCTGTAGGGATAGCAATGTCAGTTGGTTGGTATAAGACACACACAATCACACACAAAGTGTCTCAGGATATTCTATATTAACTGCATCTTTGCCAGTACTTTAAGGTTGCTTTTAGCTTATTCACACACGAGAAAGTACCGTTGGTGGCAAGGAGCAGGGTGTGGCGTAGGCCCTCACACCTGCCATTTGCAATGTTGATAAAAATGCACACCAACCTACAAGACCTCACTCCTCTATTACTCTACATGTAGAATGACTGCTATTTATAACCCCCCTCTACCTCCTACATAATGTTTGTGGTTACCCTATTGTCATTTATAATACATTTTAGTAAGCCTATTATATGTTTGTTATTGAAATGTTACAAAAAATTTATTTTATCAAAATAAGTATTATTTCTACCTGCAGCTTATTTAATTGGTTTGTTTCTTTTGTTCTCAAAAGCTGTGATGTAACAAGGCTTGCTGGGAATTGGGAAATCTGTTTGTCCAATGATCTTTTCCCTGTCATGCCCGATAACGTACTTGGATATCCTCACATCATCTTTCTTGCAATGGGTTTTCCTTGCTAGGAAAAGGCCCATAAAGTGAACTTCTGATGGGTGTGTTTCTGCTGTGTTGATAAATGATAGAATAGTTTTTTTTTTGCAACTGTGTGATCATATCTTTATACTTATGAGTTGCTGTGCTTATCTTGAAGGGTATAGTTCTATGCTTATCGTCATAGTGTCTATTTGTGTTTAGATTTGTTAGTGTAAGCTGGTTAAAAATATTCCAGCTGTTCGGGGAATTCTGTGGCCGTAGCTTAATTGGGCGTTCAGGCAGCCGCTTTCCATGTTTTTGACCAAAGGCTGGTTTGTCCTGGCCCAAGGAAAATATTTGCACTGGAGCCCAGTATAACTACATTGTGCTGCTGCCTACTTACTTACTTAAATTAACATGTGCTAACATGTTAATAATAGCCTGTCACACTAAGTATGAGATGCCCTAAAATGGCTACATAACAGAGGGTAAAACCATTACAGTATGTAAAAACATGGCCTTTCATCTGTCCCCAACCTTAAACTCTACATTTTGCACCACTGGTGACAAGGATCCAAATTATTTATTATTCTCATTTTGTTTTCAAATAAGCATAGCAGCCTCACATGGGTACTAGCATGGCTTTTAACCCTGTGACAGGCATGACTCTACGCTCAGCCGGTCGGTTCACAACTTAATTTCCAGACAGAAATATCTCATCAACTGCTGGATGGATTGCCATGAAATTTGACACAAACATTCACAGTTCCCAGAGGAAGAAATCTACTGACTTTGGTCCAGACTTTTCCTGAAGCGCCACCAACAGGTTGACATTTATGGCTTTCAGGGAAATGTCATGACCACAATTTGGATCTTGTTTGGACTACAAGATGGATGGCATTTGAATTTGGTACCGTACATACTGTATCTCACAAAAGTGAGTACACCCCTAACATTTTTGTAAATATTTACTTATATCTTTTTACATGACAACACTGAAGAAATGACACTTTGCTACAATGTAAAGTAGTGAGTGTACAGCTTGTATAACAGTGTAAATTTGCTGTCCTCTCAAAATAACACATTACACAGCCATTAATGTCTAAACCGCTGGCAAGAAAAGAGAGTACACCCCTAAGTGAAAACAACCAAATTGGCCCCAATTATCCATTTTCCCTCCCTGTTGACATACTGAAGCAGAGCATGATCCCCTCTCTTTTGGAGTCTGGGCCGCAGGGCAGCATTCCGACATAACGACCCCAAACACACCTCCAGGGCGACCATTGCCTTGCTAAAGAAGCTGAGGGTAGGATGATGGACTGGCAAAGCATGTCTCCAGACCTAAACCCTATTAAGCATCTGTGGGGCATCCTCAAACAGAAGGTGGAGGAGCGCAAGGTCTCTAACATCCACCAGCTAAACTAAGTCAGCATTCTGACTTAGTATTTAGCTTAGAGTACTGCTGTGCCTAAGTACGCAACTCACAGCTGCTAGCATGACTGTAGACTCCATACTTTAGTTTGTGGTGTATTCCGAAATGGGTTACTAATGTTTTGTCCACCCAAATATACAGTACACAGGTGTTCTGTTTTAATATAATAATGTACTTGTCATTAAGTACATTTCACAAAGTTTTGAACTCAAAAGCCCAAGTTCACTGTGTTGTCCACTTTTAACCGAATGAAACAGGACAACTCACCTGTGAACATAGCCTTGAAATAGTCACTGGATGAAGCCATGATGACTCTGTGGACAGGGAAAGTTTCCTTGCTGTCCCCAGGCACCAAGACGACATCACAGAGAGTCTCATCTGACCGAAAAATATCAAAGCCCTGTGGGAAAAACATGAATAGTTTGGCATGTTGCACTCTTACATTAGTAAATCACTATCACAATAATGTTGTAAATTGTGTTATGGATGTTGGATTTGGTGGGAAATATGCCATATGCACCAAAGAGGAGGAGGACGCTCTTCTTCTGGTGAAGAGAAGGACAGCTCATGAAAAAATTATTGAAGAATGAAGGATGTTTATCATCCTCAGTTAAAAAGCTACATGAAGTACATTTAATATACTATGGGCTAGACGGCCAGTGGGCAACTTCACCATAAATTGATGATTGGGGTAATGGTGTCACAAACCCCTGGTCGTGACCCTGGCCTGCCTGTTGCCCTGAGACTGCTGGTGGGCGTGGTTTCTGAGCTCCAGACTTTCCCACCTGAAGCACATCTGCAATCAGCACACCAGGGCCTCTGCCAGCAATCAACACGCCTTTAAAGGATCTGCCAACCTTCCAGTCCCCGCCGGATCGTTGTACTTCATCCGTATGGACACGCCAGCCAGTTTGTCAACCTTAGTTTCAGTACGTTGTCTGAACCTTTGCACCATTGTTAATGGCTCTCTCTCTTTGTCTCGCCTCCAGAAGCCAGGACCTGCGCCACGCGGATTCCCTCCTATGCCACGGAGTCATCTAGACTCTGGGACCAGAGCTGCAGACCCACAGAGCGACCACCACACCCAAACCTCTCCCAGGACTCCCCTAGAGCTCAATAAACCACTTTCAGTGCATTCTCTAGTCTGCGTTTGAGTTTCTGGCCCCCGGCCGTGACAGAACGATCCGGCCAGAATGGACTCAGCAGACCTAGAGCCGGTCCGCCATGCAGTCTCCACTCAGGGAGCAATCCTGGACCAACACAGCACCGCCCTTCAGGAGATCATGGGAGGACTACAAGATCTGTCACTCCGCATGGGAAACCTCCAGGACTCTCTGCAAGGTCCTCCACCCGCACCTGCCGCATCAGCAGCCGCAAGCTCCGCCAGGGAACCGTGGGTATCCCCACCAGAGAGGTATGATGGCAACTTAGGCCAATGCCAAACCTTCCTCATGCAATGTGGTCTTATCTTCGCTCTCCAACCCCTCACCTATGCCTCAGAAGGGTCGAAAATTGCCTACCTCATCGGACTGCTGCGCGGAGCAGCGTTGGAATGGGCCTCGGTTCACTGGAGGAGGCAGGACCGGATAACCACCTCCTATGCCGCCTTTACCACGGAGATGACCAAGGTATTTGACCACCCGGTTCGAGGTAACGACGCCTCCATGAGACTGCTCACCCTCCGCCAGGGACTCCGGAGCGTGGCTGAATACGCCGTTGAGTTCAGGACTCTGGCCGTTGAAAGCGGTTGGAATGAGGCATCTCTACTGTCTGTATTTATCAATGGGCTAAATGAACAATTGAAAGATGAACTAGTGTCCCATCCTGAACCTGAATGTCTGGATAATCTCATCACCCTGTCGATTCGGATAGATAATCGCTGCGGGAAAGACAACGGCAGAGACACGGCAGCCTCAGCAGGGAGGTTGCCCCCGCCGCAGAGTATACTCTCCAGCTCCGGCACGATCCAGACCCCCTCATCCTGAACCCATTCTGGAGCCCGCTCGGCGAGAGGAGGACCCCGAAGGCGAGCCCATGCAGCTGGGCCGGAGCCGGCTCAGTACTGAGGAGCGGGAACGCCGCAGAGGGAACAACGCCTGTCTCTACTGTGGTCTACCTGGTCACTACATCACCTCCTGCCCTAACAGGCCGTTAAACCGGAGGGCTCGCTAACCAGGGGAGGCATCCTAGCGAGCCGGGCGACCATGCCTCCGTCTTCCCGTCCTCGAACTCAGCTACACGCCACTATCAGCTGGGGAACCCAGACCCTGGAGCTCCTGGCACTCATCGACTCAGGAGCCGACGAGAGTTTTCTGGATACCGAGTTGGTGAAGCAGCTGGGGTTAGCCACAGAGCAGCTAAAGGAGCCGCTGGAGGCTAGCACACTCGATGGGAGGCTGCTTGCTCGAGTGACGACCTGCACCTGTCCGGTTCAGCTTCAGTTGTCAGGTAATCACTTTGAAACTATCTCCTTTTTTGTGATAGACTCGCCATTTATTCCGTTGGTGTTGGGGCACTCTTGGCTTATTAAACACAATCCTCACATTGACTGGGCAGCAGCTAAGATCCGGAACTGGAGTCCTACCTGTCTTGCTAGCTGCTTGCGGTCTGCTCTGCCTTCCCCTGTGAACCCACAGAGTCCCGAACCAGTCAGACCTGACCTGTCATCCATCCCCACGGAATACCACGAGGTATCGGAGGTGGATGCTTCGGACGTAGGGGTGGGAGCCGTCCTGTCCCAAAGGTCACTCGAGGACAAGAAGCTTCACCCTTGTGCTTTCCTCTCTCATCGGTTGTCTCCCTCTGAACAGAATTATGACGTCGGGAACCGGGAATTATTGGCCGTTAAGATGGCCCTCGAGGAGTGGCGTCATTGGCTCGAGGGCACCGAGCAACCGTTTGTGGTCTGGACCGACCATAAAAACCTGGAATACATCCGCTCGGCGAAACGCCTGAACCCCCGTCAGGCCAGGTGGGCGCTTTTCTTTGGTCGGTTCAATTTTGCCCTTACCTACAGGCCCGGGTCCAGGAATGCTAAACCTGACGCTCTATCCCGGATGTTTGTCAAAGAGGGGACTACGGCTGACCCAGACACCATAATACCCAAGACTTGTATCATTGGGGCAGCCCTGTGGGAGATTGAGAAGGAGGTGAGAACGGCCCTTCAGCATCAGCCAGACCCAGGTAACGGCCCCCCGGGCTGCTTGTTTGTGCCTCTCTCTGTTCGTTCATCTGTGCTACAGTGGGGTCACTCCTCCAAACTCTCATGCCATCCGGGGTGACCCGCTCTCTGGCCTTCCTGCGCAGACGGTTTTGGTGGCCAGAGATGAAGGCCGATGTCCATGCCTTCGTTTCTGCCTGCCCCATCTGTGCACAGAACAAGGGCTCCAACCGGCCTCCTCCAGGATACCTGCAGCCTCTACCCATACCTCGTCGTCCGTGGTCCCACCTATCTCTGGATTTCGTGTCTGGGCTGCCCCCTCGAAAGGTATGACCGTGGTACTCACTGTGGTGGATCGCTTTAGCAAATTTGCACGTTATCTGCCTCTGCCAAGCTGCCCACAGCTAAGGAAACCGCTGAACTCCTGGTCTCAGTGGTGTTCACGGTCCATGGCCTTCCATTAGACATCGTCTCAGACCGGGGTCCACAATTCACATCGGCAGTCTGGAGGGCGTTTTGCCGTGCTATCGGGGCCACCGTCAGCCTGACCTCAGGGTTCCATCCCCAGGCTAACGGCCAGGCAGAGCGAGCCAACCAGAAGCTGGAGACGACTCTGCGTTGCTTGGCGTCCTCTAACCCCGCTTCCTGGGTTTCCCAGTTGCCATGGGTGGAATACGCCCACAACACTCTCCCTACGTCCGCCACAGGTCTGTCACCCTTTCAATGTGTTTATGGTTTTCAACCTCCACTGTTTCCCTCTCAGGAGAGAGAGTTGTCTGTCCCCTCTGTCCAAGCTTACATCCGCAGATGCCACCGCACCTGGCACAGAGCTCGAGCCACCCTCCTGAGGACGTCGGCTCGGTATGAGTATCACGCCAACCGTCGTCGTACCCCTGCACCCGCCTACACCGTCGGGGACAAGGTGTGGCTCTCCGCCCGGGACCTTCCGTTGAGGACTGACTCCAAGAAGCTGTCTCAGAAATACATTGGACCCTTGGTGGTGGAGAAAATTATCACCCCAGTGACCGTTCGGCTTCGTCTGCCCCCCACACTTAAGGTTCACCCTACGTTCCACGTGTCCCTGCTCAAGCCTGTCCTCATCAGCCCCCTGCTCCCTCCTCTCCCGGCCCCTCCACCCGCCCGACTCATTGAGGGCCACCCTGCGTTCACGGTGCGTCGGGTTCTGGACTCTCGCCGTCGAGGGCGCGGCATACAGTATCTCATCGACTGGGAGGGCTATGGCCCTGAGGAGAGGAGCTGGGTTCCCCGACGACAGGTTTTGGATGCCGCCCTCTTACAGGCTTTTCATCGCTCTCACCCCGAGAGGCCTGGAGGATCGCCGGGAGGCTCTCGTTGGGGAGGGGTACTGTCACAAACCCCTGGTCGTGACCCTGGCCTGCCTGTTGCCCTGAGACTGCTGGTGGGCGTGGTTTCTGAGCTCCAGACTTTCCCACCTGAAGCACATCTGCAATCAGCACACCAGGGCCTCTGCCAGCAATCAACACGCCTTTAAAGGATCTGCCAACCTTCCAGTCCCCGCCGGATCGTTGTACTTCATCCGTATGGACACGCCAGCCAGTTTGTCAACCTTAGTTTCAGTACGTTGTCTGAACCTTTGCACCATTGTTAATGGCTCTCTCTCTTTGTCTCGCCTCCAGAAGCCAGGACCTGCGCCACGCGGATTCCCTCCTATGCCACGGAGTCATCTAGACTCTGGGACCAGAGCTGCAGACCCACAGAGCGACCACCACACCCAAACCTCTCCCAGGACTCCCCTAGAGCTCAATAAACCACTTTCAGTGCATTCTCTAGTCTGCGTTTGAGTTTCTGGCCCCCGGCCGTGACAAATGGAGCATCTTAAGCCAATTACAGAGACTGGGATTTTAAAAATGTAGAATGACTTTCTCTGCTATTGTAGAATAAAAGTTGTTTACGTCCATATTTGTATCCCAAATGAAGTTCCTGAACTTCCGCCATTCAGTTAGTTAATAAGTCACAAATGTATACCTGCAAAACAGCTGCTCCATGTTCAGTGCTACTGAACACCTTGGACAGCGGCCGAGGGGGAAGTTTGGGCTTTGTGGATTTGTCTGGGCGTTTAGGTGGTATTTCTATGGGTGGCGGGAGAGAAACAGGAGCGGGAGCTGGAGCTGGAGCAGGTTCTGGTGGAGAAGGCCTGTCATCTGTCAAACCCAAATGGAGAACAGATACTGAGTAATGAGGAAAGTCATGAAATACATTTACTCAAATGTACTATAATTCCTTCTAAAATGTATTGGAGTAGAAGTTCAAAGTAGCATACAATGGAAATACTCAAGCAAAGTACAAGTACACACACACCTTGTTGAACAGGCGGAGCAGGAGGTCTTTCGGGCTGAACTGGAGGTCTCGGAGGATCCCTGGAGTGATGCCTGCCGCTCAGGCGAGAAAATCTACGGCTCAGCCTGCCTGGCCCGCTGTCATCTCCACTTCCCCTACAGAGGAGAAGATTTGGGACACTTCAAGAACAGTTTGGACTTTATGGTACCATTTTGCATCCCTAAAAAATTGACACTGGGATCTCCTTGCAGTGCAATCTGATTTTGTGACGTAAGTGATGTTCAGAGGTATCAGGCTTTCAAGAATTATGATGTTGAGCCTGCATCCACAACAACTTCATGGATTACCTACTGCGTACAATCAATTCATTGCAAGTAAAGGCAAAACTACGACATGAGTAGTAATACTAAGCTTACCAAATATGTGCCAAGATTTGTTTTGAACGTTTCATGACCTGTTTTGGCATTGTTGCATGGTAGACTTTTTTTCTCTGAGTTTAGTCTCTCAGCACTTCCTCTTATGTTGTGTACAAATACCACTTCCTTCAGTAGCACTGAATCAGACACTCACTACTTAGTGGCCCAAAGCATAACTTTTACCATCTCTAGTATGTCAGCTCTATCATTTGATTAAAAGAGCTTGTTTCCTGTAAGAAACCCAGCCTCATCTATGCGGCTGACAAAAGTCCCTTATCTGTTTTGCATTGCATGCTCTGAAAAGGAGGAACCAATAAACCATTTTCAAGGGATCCACTTCTCCTCTTGAAAATGTTTCACACCAAGATATGCAGCACACAGTAAATCCTGGTAAAATTAGGAGAATACTCAGACAAAGCAAATATAACGACTATTGAATGTAAATTCGAATTTAAAGGCAAGAAAGTGCTTAAATTTTTCTTTTGTAAAATTTAGTAAAAAAAGGTGAAACATTGCTTGACTTGCTAAAAATGGATAATTAATTTGATTAGCATTATGTGGATCCATATATCCTTACATGGAGCTAAGCCCACCACCCAAATTCAAAATACAGGATTGAAACTTGCTGTCACCCTTAAATAGATTGACACTTCTTTTAATCTACAAAGCACTACTGGAAAACAAGCAGTATAATTGCTTTATTTATTGTACATAAAACACATACATGTACATGGTATACATGGGTGTATGTATACATATGAAGAGGAGAAAAGCCCAAAAAACTCCTTACCCCATTTCATTGGCCTCTTGGGGTTGCGGACTGTTGTTGCGCTGGTGAGACTTCCTACATGGAGATAAAAGACGAGCTTTAGTGGACAGCAAAAGATTTTAGGAGCTTTGAGCTAGAAGAAAACATGCACAGGAAAGGTGTTGTGACCTACGTACGTATGACTATAATCACATATTCCGTGCTAATGTAAAAATATAACATCTTCAGTAAGATGAGTCTCGCTCAACAATTTAGTCAGAATTGTCTAAAGGTTTCCTCTGAATGAAGAGCCTCACCCTATTGTGAGGTTCACAGCGTGTCAAACTCTGTGACAAATTCTGTGCGTTTGATGTGGCCTTGCACGTTGGCAGACAGTACAAACCTCACTGAACTTGACTTCAGACCTTTTCTTCCGGTTAAACTGTTGTTTCTCTGCCAAACAGCATGCATGTTTTAGTGTGTATGTCTAAGCCAAATTTTGTGAACAATGATAATTCTATTTTCTAAAGTAAAGCATTCATTTCCCACAACCTCTATAGTGCAATCTAACACCTAATGAAGTAACGTGTTTCATTTCATCATCATTTGATAAAATCAGCCGTGTCAGAAGCTTTGTGGTTGGTTTGTTTGAAATTGATAAGCACTTCTAGCTTCAGCAATATCTGGTATAACTTGACTAACATGTATTATTATTATTAGTTAATGTTTATTTTATGTGAGAACTAAAAAAATACTTGACACATGTTTAACGTAAATAAAACCAGTGTTTAATCTGGCATTACAACTTCATCTATATATAATACACAGACCTGTTGTTGTTTTTGTTTGGTAGAATTTGACAAAAATAAATACCAAGACTCTTCTTTATGTTCAATAATTACAATATACTATGTACCAAATTTATGTTTTAGTTGATGATGACAACAATCTAGTTAATTGTTATTCATGATGCAGTTTCTATTGTTCTCTTTAAACTGTTTTAGACCCACAGAGATAACATTTTGTGAGCCTGTTTCATGTGTTTGTTTGACATAATGATAACAGTTGTTTGCACACCATTTAAATAATACTGTATATTATATATCAGAGCACAAAGTGTTCTGGTTTTCCATTTTATGAGGCTTTATACTACATCTCAAAGGCAATTATTGCACTTTTTACTCTGCTACATTTACCTGATAGCTTAAGTTACTAGTTACTTTTCAGAGTAACATTGGTCAAACCCTTCCTTTCTGGAGAAAATCATGTAATGTAATGTACCACAAATTTGGTAATTCTGAATGTGAGTTTTTCTAATTATCTGAAGTGTGAAGTGTTCCTTCATGGGTTGAGAAAATTCGCCTACTCTGTAAGCTAAATAAACTATAAAAAAAACAAACACCTTGGATTAGCTGGAAAAGCATTGTCACAAAGCTGAAACAGGGCTGTTTTTCTGAGCTCATGAAAAGGTGACTTTTAAAGCTACGTGGTTCTCACAGTGACGTTACAAAGATATGACGATATTATGGAATACAACAGTAGTTAAATGGATTATTTTTTCTGCAGATTGAGTACTTTTACAGATGATTTCACAGTATGATATTAGTACTTTTACCTAAAGGAATTGAGTTAATACTTATTCCACCACTGTTTGTAGGGAAAATATTTGACTAATTTAGTTTAAAACCACTAAAAAAATGCATGGCTTCTGAGTTATTATCTATATCAGAACTGCTTGCCTGCAATTTTTATTTTACGTGTATTTTTAAGTGTAGGCCACCAATTTTTCAGTCCCACTTAAAACACCTCTTACAACTAAGTGACATGTAGTGACCACAATCAAGCTCTTTCTCAACTGACAAGTGTAATAACGCAGCGACACAGTAGCTCAGTGCCACGAATACTTACAAAACAAGATTGAAATCAGTGAAGTGAAACACACTACAGTCTAATATTTACCTTCCTGTAACAGCTGAAACAGAGTGATATGAATACACACATGAAGTTGTGGTGCTTTGTTGTCATGTACTGTGCCTGCTGGTGCTTCACATGGAGCTGGATCTAAAACATGTACATGCGGGTAACCTACCTGGAAGAAATCCTCCTCAGCAGACTGTTCCCAAGGCCTCCCTCCAGCCTGTTTGTCTAACCAACCAGAAGTCTAAGAGGAACACTGAGCAGAAAATGTCTGTTGAACTGCTCCGGCTGGTTGGAGAGGCAAAGTGTCTAAGTGAGCATTGCGTCTCTTTGCTTTAACCGAGACCTCAGTCACTTCCTGTGCTACTTCTCTTTCTCACATTCTGCGCCTTTTTGCATCTTGACGCTCCCCAAATGTGTCACACTTGTGTACTGTTTGTGAAATAAGCATAATGTTTCACAAGCTGTTATAGCATGTATGCACACTAGCAGGTCTTTCATTATCTATGTAGATTAGGACGAACGTCTTAACCCAAATGGAGAAATGTTTTGTCTCACATTGTATGGTATTCTCTTTTCTTTTGCTAGATGATCGTTGAAAACATTTAACATACTCAAAAAGTCCTATGCAAAGACAACAGACAAATAGTTTCTTGACCTTTCAAAGTGGGTGTTTATAGTTGACTGTAGTTTCTAGATGATAGTGGGGATCTGACAACTGTGAAACCACATACAATCACTGAGGTTAGTTTTTTCTGTCCTGTTCCTTGGCATGATCAGACTATAATATATTGGTTTAATTAGAAATTTAAAACACAGAATAGAGTGGATTTTGATTTGACACCCATACTTCTCTCAAACAGACTACTGCACCTGAATCTTCCTTGCATTAGAACAGAATGGTTGTGCATGTAAATCTCCTCGGTTACACAGTTGGGGAACAACAACAAAAGACAAACTGTTATCACCTACTAATAACAGATCCGGAAAAGAGTAAAGAGATCTTCATCACCTCAGCTGGTGTTTATTCAACCACAAGAACCTCAAACTGTTGTGTATGTCATTAACGCTTGCATTTGTCACAATAAAACCAAAATAACTTTGTTGATTTCATGAAATAGTGCCTCTGTCCCCTCCAATTTAAAGGAAAAACTCTTTCATTATTCACTTGCCAAAAATCTGCCGCTGACACTCAGCCTTCCCCAGACACTGCCTCACTTTGTACACTTTTGTATTAATACATATTAGATATTAGATGAGTCATTGTCAAATTATGGAAGCTGCTTGCATGTTTCATGTTTCCACTTTCTTTCAGTTTCTTTGTCATGATGGCATCTCAGGCTCTGGTTCATAACTGTTGGTTTTGGTTCAGTAGTGATTCTTGTTCAGTGGATTGCCCTCAGTGCTGCCCTCTGCTGATCTGTTAGAGTTTAGAGAACTGAATGAGGTTCCTGTTGATTTCTGCCACGTTCCTGCAACCTGGATCAGATGAATATAAAACTGTTACTGTTGTTTTAGTAAAGATGGGATATTGCTGTACTTATTTTGGCACAAAGATATTAACATGGTTACACTTATCACTTGACCTCCCATCTCTCACCTGATAAAGCCATGGACAAACGGAACTCATCATTTAAGATTTGCAGTACTTCCCTCACTCCTTCCTCACCCTGAAAGATCATGCAAGACCCATAATAACTTTAAAAGAGAAAATACAATCTGCAATCCTATTATGTATCAATAAAATCAACATCAGCACACATCAGCTTTAGTTATAAAGATGTGATTGTTCTTTTCTACTGAAAAACTTTCTTTTAAATTTCTTTTGATAGATACAGATCTATTCAAAAGCTGTCAGAATCTTGACTTTCATTGAGATCAGAGCATAACAGCTTTACAATGCAAACAATAACTTAACCTTTTAAATCAAGAATAGTTTAGTTTTTAATGTCAGCCAAGGTGCTCCAACAATGTCAATGACTTTCAAGAATAAACTTCAGATGTCAAGGCAAATCAAGCTTAGTATGTGGAGCCTGTACATGTGGGTTAGAAGCTAAACAGACACACACGCAGTATCACACAGTGATGACTGTTGCGGTTTATACCTTGTATGCAAGGCCCCACACTGCTGGGCGGCCAATGAAAACACACTTGGCTCCCAAGGCCAGCGATTTCAATACATCACTTCCTGTCCTGATTCCTCCGTCCAGATAGACCTCGATTCTGCCCTGCACTGTGTCCACAATCTCTGACAGTGCATCAATCTGTAAGTAACAGAGGTGAAGACATAACAAGGACAACATACTTTATAGCAGAGTGCACTCTGTGTACCACAGAGTGAGCAACATTTCACCCAGGTATTTTGAAAGAGGATTACCAAAGTACTGATGTTACCAAACAACCGGCTGGGGTTTTCTTCTTTAAGTTTGATTTCTTTGAGGAAAACTGTGGATAACTCAACACCGTAACAAGCTCATAGGATCTACAACTCAGGTTTATTCTTGTCAAATACTAGTATTAGTAATAGTTAACCTGGCTCTGTCAAAAAGTAACAAAATTGCCTACCGGTACCTCTGAAGCTCACTAAGTAACACATTATAACTTATTTGTTTACAGTAATGTGTAAAAAAAATGACTTGTGCTTCTAGGTATTTCACAGTATAAGGAAAATAAATATAAAAGTCTTCTATCTACTATAGTACTCCCATCACTTGCACTAGTCCTGATACTACACTTACTACTATTAAGGGAGAGTTACTACTACTACTCTGCAGCAGTAGCAGAAGCCACACCACTGCTGCTGCTTCTGCTCTGGGTGCTCCCTTCTGTGTTGATTAAAACTATTACCTGACCAACTTACCTCTACTTTTTCTAATCATTTAACTGGGCTGTGTTATTGCTGTTGTCATCTGCCATGGGTATTCACTTTCATGTACTTCTATAAACATGCCATTAGAAACAAAATTTTTAACATGATTTAAGAAGCAGTAAGTCAGTAAGTACCGAAGCTGGGCCTCCGTCCAGCTGTCGTCCCCCATGGTTTGACACAATGATGCCCTGGACGCCATGCTCCACGGCCAGCTCAGCATCCTCCTTGGTCAGGATCCCCTTGATAATTACAGGCAGGCGGGTGATGGACTGCAGCCAGTACACATCTTTCCAGCTGATGGAGGGGTCCAAGGAGTTGGCTGGCATCCCGTAGTTGTCTGTGGCTGCTGTCTCCTGATTATAGTGCATGTGGAAAAAGTATAACTGCTGTTAAGTGTCTGCTTGATATACATATGTACTCTGGACTGCTGCTGCTTGTACTTTTACCGATGACACTGGTAAACTATTGTTAAGGGGTAACTTTGACACTGCTGGTACATGGATATTTTGTATATGTGACTTCACACAAGTAAGTTCTGATTCACAAATAATTCATGATATGAATTAAACTGTCTCAAGCTACATGCTCAGATGTGGTATGTGGATTCTGCTTCTGCTTCTGATGCAATTAGCTGTTAAGTGCCAAGTTACTTACAGTAGATGAGCAATAATTATACCTGAAGTTGAAGTGGCTTGCATTAGAGAAAACATTAGAGAGATTCAGCCATGTCTGAGCCTCAGTCAGAAACAGATTCTAGTGTCAGTAAAGTCAAGATCTGACATTTCAGGGGACATGAACATAAGAAAAAGAACACTTTTGAGTGGAGGGAACAATCTTGAAATGCAATTATATGGCAGCAAAATGTGTATAAATCATCCTTTACATCTTGTCACAGCACAGTACAGTAACAGTAAAACAGTAACATTGTAGGTAAAGTAATGAATTAAGCAGTCTTGTCTGTTCTTGATTGACCTCTGTTTTGTTTTGTCTATTCTTTGTTATTTGACCTTGTTCAGTCTTATCTTTGTCTTATCTCATTTAACTTTTTCTGCTATGTCTTAACTTGTACATTGAATATTTATTACCTGGAATACTCCATCAAAGTTCTTGACCTTGAGGTGTGGTGGCAGCTTGAACTGGTTGCGGATGTCGTTGCGGCGCTTTCCGGTGTAGGGGACGTCAACTGTTAGTACCAGGGCCTTATAGCCGAGCCCCTCTACACGGTGCACAATCTGTTCAGACAGCTTCCGGTCCCGGTACACATACAGCTGGAACCAGCGGTACCCGTTTGGTGCTGCTGCCGCAATCTCCTCCACTGAGCAGGTGGAGTAAGTGCTGGTGATGTAGCAGGTGTTGAGCGCCTCTGTGGCTGTGAGGCGAAAGTTGAGAAATGATTACTGTGGTGATTAAAGATCCAATATATATAGTAGATCAACGTCACAGAGTAAGCTACATACTTTCTGGGTACTAGGGCTTCAGACCTCCAGAAGTGTAGCAACAGTAATTGTCTACTTATCACACGGCTCCACCAAAGTTCAGTCCAGTTATTAGTTGAGAATTAAATTAGCTTTAGGAGAGATTCATGGGGTTATTGTATGCCTTATTGCTTGTACAGATAAAAGAGAAAATACCAACACAGAACCAGCCTTGCAGCACAGGATAATCATAATCTCACGCTCCCATCTAGTGTTGAAAATGTATACTAACATTATTATTGGACAAAAACATGTGTCTCCAAAATACAAACTTTGCAGACACTTGAAAAGGTCTGATCATCAGTTCTGAATAGCCACATTTGAGCAAGGGTTTAATAAGGGTTTTATAAGCCAAAGGCTTATACTTTTTCCCAAACCAATGCAGGAGCCTATAACTCTTCAAATGAAGTTTAAACACCAAAGTCATCAATTCCATAACAAAGCATATGAGCTAACAGAAAGGCATTCTGAATTATGTTTATAGTTTTCTCCTACACTTCACTTGCACCAAGTGTGAGTTCTGCTGAAATGCTGACACACACTCCCACACACACTCTCTCTCTCTCTCACACACACACACACACACACACACACACACACACACAGATTCCTCACCCCGAGCTGTGGCCATCTCTCCTTCATGCCAGGCTAGGCAGTGAAATGCAGTAGGTGCGATACCAACTGGAAAGCTGATTTCTGTCCCCTGTACTGTGGTCCGTGTGTCGCTCACTGACACATCACGCAGGATACGAGGCCTCAGACGAATCCTGAGTGTGAAGTACAGATGAGCATGTAAACAATTACACCAAATGTAACGGTGGAGGGGATGGGGTTGAGGTAGGTGAGGGCACTAGGGTCAATCACAACTAATAAAATGTGAACTGCAATGTTGCAATTGCTGGGAAGGCACGATAAGTCATCATTTTGTATAGACGTGGATGTTTTTTTTTAACCTAATCCACCCAAGTAATTCCCAACAAAGCCACATGCTCTCTCCCATTGATGCAAAAATTGTATAATTTTAAT